GAATTTCGTAAAAGATATACAAAAAGAATTGGCTATTGCAATAATGTCGGTGGTATTATGACAAACAGTTTATCAGTTGACAGATTATTCATAGCTTTCATAGGAACTGAGATGAATTGGCATGAAGTGCGAGGAGATGAGTCTGTGAAAACTGAATCACCTTCGATCCACATAAGAAACATTAGCAGACCCACATTTTCCAAGTGTTTTCACGGCGAAAAATATTATTTTTTGCGTTTATTTAGGCTACTAACTACTGAGCAATTGGCATGCTATTTCCACTACAAACTACAAATTCACCATTAGCAGGCCTTTTTTTCTTCCTCCTATCATAAATAAATCAACAGTAAAATTACACTGTCTTCTCGCTTACTAACTAACATACTTCATCCAGATGATTTAAACACATTTCACTCAACAAATTCATTTCATTTCCATCGAAATGAGCGAAAAGTGTATGACAAAGAAGAATAAAGTATTTGTTAACTGGGCACTTTGCCAGCTAATCATTACACAATTCATCTCTCCTCGTTTCTCCCGACGAAATGACAAAGAAAACGGGAGAAATGGGGGGAGATGGAGAAGTGAACAACTGACTTGTTCATCACAATTCACACTGACTGGCACCAACACGGTGAAAACGGATTCTTCATTCTCATCTTTCGGGCTCTCCTTACTTTTTCTTCACGTTTTCAACTGATCGATTTTTTTGGGTTTTTTGGTCTGCTAATGTTCTTTTGTAGATTGTAGTGTCAACGTGGCTGAAAGCTGTATTCGGCAAGGTATTTTCTTGTTCATAAATCTCCTGTTGGGCCTGAAGGTTATGAACGCTATTTTGTGTGCTCAATTTTTTTTTCTAGTTTGTAATGTATCTAGCAGACCAACTGTAGGAAGCTTAAAATTTTTTCTCTGTTTTTTTTTTCCAAAGATTTCATCAGTGTTTTAGCCCGTAACCTCTGTTTTTATATCACCAGAGAATGACTCATCACGTGATTTTGTTCTCGAAGGTTCCAGAACAAATTTTCAAAAAAAAACAACTTTTCAAAAATACTAGAGAACTCAAATTTTTTATGGACTGTTTCAAGTTCGAAGCACCCAAATTTTTTGAATTTGGCGCCAAAATGCGAGTGTCCCACTGGAAAAGAAACCTATAATTTCAAGCAAAAAACATGACATTTTTGGAAGAATGTGAAAATTTCGCTGATTTTCGCGAATTTCCGTACTGTTTTGAATGGAATTTTCATTTTTCGTTTAAATTATAGGTTTAGGCTGAAACGCCTTGTTTTCCTTCCACTGAGACATCCGAAAAAGGCAAAAATTTAATTTTTCAAAATCAAACTTTGGCCTGCTAATCATGGAATTGTAGTTTGTAGACTAGCAGGCCAAAGCTTTTCTCGTCGGTTTTTCGTTATTTCATATCCTTTTTTTGGTTTTTTTTCACTCTTAATTGTAGCTTGTAGTTTAGCAGGCCAAAGCTAGACCTCCCTTCTCAGATTTAATGTTTTTTTCTAATTTTCTGCTTCTCTATTTCAAATTTCAGCCTGCTATTCATAAAATTGTAGTTTGTAGTCTAGCAGGCCCAAGCTTTCTTCGTCAGTTGTCCGTTATTTTTCTCCTTTTTTGCGTTTTTTCACTCTTTTCTCCATATAAAAATTTTTTTCCAGAAAATGCGGGCGATTATCTCTGTCGCCAAGTCGATTCTCGGGACCCGACAAAGCGACGAAGACGAAAAACTGTGTACGGCAGGCGCGCGGCCCGCCGAAACGGTTCACTCGTTTCGTGTCTACGTTCACGGCAATCGGAAGAAGAACGAAATGGTCCACGGAGAGCACATCTGGGTCTTCGAGCCAACACCCCATCACACCTCAACGAAGGATGCTAAGAACCGCCCGCGAAGTTTTCCAGCGTGGCTTCGTGTGACGTCGACAACGATTTCGCTGGAAATTACGAAGAAAGAGTGTCTGATATGGCCGCTGCCACTGATTCGACGATACGGATACACATCTGCTGGAGTTTTCTTCTTTGAAAGCGGCCGGAGATGCGAGTCGGGAGAAGGAATGTTCACTTTTCAGTGCAAAAAGGCCGATGAGATTTTTACGGTGTGTAAAGACATGAAAAATGAAAAAATAATCTACCAAAACCCTTTTTCCGATCTTCCAGCTCATTCAAACACTCATCGAAGCGTTTGTCAACTCGCCGCCCGAGTTAAAGCAGAACATGGAGAACTGCTACAGGTACCACAGGCAGCAATCGGTGCCAATCAGCTCGAGAAGGATGTCAAATGCCAGTAACACGTCTTCCGTGTTTGGTCAGTTCGAAAAAAAAGCAGAAAAATCCGAAAAAACGACGAAAAACGGCCTGCAAATTCAAAAAAAAAAGTGCAGTTTGTAGTCTAGAACAACAATGTTGATGTTGGCCTGCTAATGTCAAAATTATAGTCTGTAGTCTGGCAGGCCCATATTTTTCGATTCTGAAATAATACAATTTTTCGCCGTGAAAACACTTGAAAATGTGGGTCTGCTAATGTTGAATATGTAGTTTGTAGCCTAGCAGACCCAAGTGGAAGGTAACGAGTGAAAAGAGTGTGCCTGCTAGCCTACAAACTACAAGGCAAACACTAGCAAACCCAAGTTTACAGTAAACCGAAGTGGAGAGATTGGGCCTGCTAGACTACAAACTACAAGGCAAACACTAGCAGGCCAACACGTTAGACTTGGCCTGCTAGTTACTTCTTTGTAGTTTGTAGTCTACGAAAGAGGAAAAACCATCAAATTCGAGCTAGAAAAAACGAAAATATTGAAAAATACGTTTTTCTTTTGATAATTCCCCTTTCGTTTTGGCCTGCTAATTTCAAATTTGTAGTTTGTAGTCTGGCAGGTCCACTTGTCAATATTAGTCATTTTTCTCCGATTTTCCCCGATTTTTTCGGAATTTTTCTAACTTTTTCTTGTTTCAGGATTCAAATACCAGACCCCTGGTATGATTTCGATGCCGTGTGCTCGCGATAGAAACTCCAACACCTCGCTCGCGTCGACATTCTCGCTTCGCCCCGGCTCTCACACCGTTCGTCCGATGCCGTCGTCAGTTCAGAGATTCAGAAGTGAAGGTACAGCCATCACAATTCATTTAACGTAGTCTAACTCGTTTCCTAGTGTTTCCAGGAATGAATTCGGAGGTGTTGACATCTTCTATGAATTCGTCAGGGTTCAACGACTCGCTTGGCTATCATTCCTATCACAGATCGTCGTATGATCCGAGAACAGGGCGAATTACAACTCCGATGCGTCCGAGGTAGGGGATTCTGAGCAAATATGGAAGCATTTTTCTCGAGATTTTCCCACTTTTTCTCGGTTCCAACTAGGTTTAATTCTTCAGAAGCGTCACTGACACGTCCGACTACGAAGACTCGTTCATCTATCAACATCACCATCAGCCGCACGACAGCTTTCACCCGCTGACTCATGGAGGACGTGGCAATAAGCTATTAGGGAATATTGTGTAAGTTTTTCATATTTTTCATCCATTTTATTAGAATTATCGATTTATTTAGCACTGAGCGCACGAATCCAGCTCACCAGCCTTCTGGAATCTCTAACGGGATCCTGCCTCCCTACATCAACATCTCAGCAAAAGAAGTCGTTCCATCGTCCCGTCAGAATTCTCAAATTTACTATCCACAGTCGTCTTTGACGGCTTCGGCCGCTTCAGAAGTCTCCGCGGCACTCAACGCCATGAATCGAGACATTGCCACTTCATCTCAACACCACCACCATCAATATCCGCCACCGCAACGTCCACAGCTACCACGTGCCACACCGCCACCCATCTCCAATCGTCAGCTGAAGCGGTACGCGGTGGTTTCCACGTCATCACTGTCGAAGCGTCGGATTTCGAAGGAGGACGCGAAACGGGCGTTCCTGTCGAATGATCCACGTGTCGGGCTGGTGTTGGACGATCCACGGTATGCGGCGGTGAATGTGGAGGCTGATGAGAATTATGCGAATTTGGAGGATATTCAGGTAATTTATTCAGATATCAATTTTCATTTTTTGTGTGTTTTGACCCAAAAAATACCAGAAAACACCAGGAAATACAAACGAATAATACTATTTCCGCCGCGAAAACTCTTGAAAGATATGGGTCTGCTAATGTTAAAGGTGTAGTTTGTAGTCTAGCAGGCCCATCTTCAATACACGCTTGGTGGGCCTGCTAATGTTTCCTATGTAGTTTGCAGCCTAGCAGACCCAACTGACGAATTTCTAATGCACGCATGTGGGTCTGCTAATGTTTGATATGTAGTTTGTAGCCTAGCTGGCCCAACTGACGATTTTCTATTTGAAAAATCAAGTTTTCTATCCTGCAACCTTTTTGATTTCGGGGGTGGCAATCCTCATAAAACATTCTGGTGCTGGGATATCAAGTTTCCAGGCGTGTCAGAATTCTGGAATAAAATTGATCTACTAAACTACAAACTATAAAACTTCAAAAATTTTCAGAGCGACAAAATCATGAGAGGAATCGATGTGGACACGCTCAGCGCATTGCACTCGTCGACGGAGCCCTCTCCACCACTGCCACGTCATCAGACGACGTCTTCAAAGACTCTGAAGCCGCCCAACGTTGGATTGACGACGCGTGCGGCGACGGCGTCACCAATGCCACGTCTGAACTATGCACAAATCGTGCCGGTTCATGATGATGGTGTGGTGCCGGATAGATCAAGTCGGTGAGTACCTTTTTTTTAGAGATTTTGGCCTGCTAATTACAGGAAGTGTAGTTAGTAGTCTAGCAGACCCAAATTGACAAAGAAAAATATGTAAAAGCCACGTGGTTCACTTAAAAATCGGCGTGTGCTAGTCGCGAGCTTTGCGACGCGTCGTTTAATAGACTACAAACTACACGTTACTTATTAGAAGACCAATTTTACCCAAATTTTCGAAATTCCACGTGTTTTTTTTGCAGTTGTGCATCCGTCGGTCGCTGTTACGATATCAATTATGCCCAATTGGATGTGGACCGAACGCAGGCGTTGAAGGGGACACTACGGCAGAAGAAGGAACAAAAATGTTGATTTCTGTCTGAAATTTCAGCTAATTTTATTGGATTTTGTCCTCCTCTCGCTGCCTACCCATTAGATTTTATTGTTATTTTTATCGCCCCCCCACCCCCCTCCCGTGTTCTCTGATCATTTCGTTCCGCATACCGCCGGTTTTTGCTCTCTCCCCCCGTTTCGTTTTTTTTTGTAAATAGACGTTTTTCTGCCTCCGCCCCCTCCTCCGAACATATATTTTTGTTATTTTCTTTTATCATTTTTAGTGTCTCCCATTTTTAGACTCTTTTTTTCTCAATCTGTCACATGTTCCCCCCACCGAAAAAACCACCAAAAATTATTGATTTTTGCCCCCTGGGAGTGGGCGTGACCACTTTTTCCAGGACTCCGCCCCTTTTTCTCAATCCTCAAAAATACAGCTCCCAACGTGTATAATGTCACCACCCCAATTATCCCGTCTTTTAATTGATTTGCTAATTGTCACGTCATAGTCTCGAAATGTGCCTATTGCTCTCTCGTTTGCCCATTCATCACACAAAGATTTGTAAAATGAAAAGTATGAATCGATGAGAAAAATGATGTTTTTTTGGAGTTTATAGTTTTCAAGCGAATTTCGAAATTCCCAGAAAATTGGTCTGCTGAATGCATTCCCTGTAGTTTATAGTCTGGCAGACCAATCTCCCATTTTTGCTTTTCTCACTATTCGTTGAAGTGGGCCTGCTAGACTACAAACTACAACTTTGAACATTAGCAGACCAACCTCGCACGCATTAGAATTGTGCCTGTTGGGCCTGCTAGGCCACAAACTACACTTTCCATACTTAGCAGACCAATTATCTTTCTAACTTTTTTTGACATTGGCCTGCTAGACTACAAACTACATAAGACACATCAGCAGACCAACCTCGCGCGCAATAGAAATTCGTCACTTGAGCCTGCTAGACTATAAACTACACCACAACCATTAGCAGGCCAACTTTTAAAAAGTGACAGTTGGGCTTGCTAGACTACAAACTACATAGGAAACATTAGCAAGCCAAAATCTAGCGCACATTAGAAGTGCGTCCGTTGGGCCTGCTAGACTATGTGATTTTGCAGATTTTGTGTACTAAAAAGACACTCCCAATATTTTTCTCTTATTTTGTTGGAATTTTTTGATATCTAGGAGTGCCCCAAAGTTATTTATTTGTCATATACTACAATTTTTGGAAAAAAAAAACCAAAAGAGTGCTGTAACTTTCCCAGAACCTGCAATTTTCCTTAGCATTTTCAAGGTTGGTCTGCTAGTTCTAGCTTTGTAGTTTGTTAGTTAGCAACCCATTCTCCTGTCTCCATTTTTCTTGAAATAGGCCTGCTAGACTACAAACTACAGTTTCGAACATTAGCAAACCAAAGTTTCAAAAATGACGCCGTCATTTTTGATTCATTGTTTCTGGGATTCTGTGAATCTAACATCAAAGGAATTCATATGAATATTCAAACTTCCACTTCAAATTATTTTCTCCATTTTTCAAGAGAATTGTTTCCTTGTTTTTCCGTTTTTCTCTCTCTTCTGAAGTCTTCTGAAGTGAGTGAATCAGAATAATTGAAAAATAAAAACGAGGGATTCTAATTTTAATAAGCCGACGAAGAATCTTGTGCTCATCGGAGCACATGAATTTCGGAATATTCTTGAATATTTAAATTTTTCTATAGAAACGCACGATACTCTGGCTATGAGACAACAATTGGAATTTTGATGTGAAAGTATGAAATGGATAGAAAATAATGAAAAAAAAACAGAATATATATTCGGAATGATTTTTGAAATGAATGAATCAGAAAACTGAAAATTCGAAAAATTTGTTTCCAAGTAGCTGAAAATTCTCGAATAGCTGAACATTTTTGAATCTCCGGAAATTCCAAAATTTTTGAAAATTTCTAATTTTTGGAAATTTTTGTGAATTTCTTGGATTTTTTGAATCTTTGAAAATTTTGGAATTTTTTTGATTTTTTTTCGAATTTTGTGATTTTTTTTGAAACTTCTGGAATTCAGTAATTTTAAAACTTTTTTTTTGGCTTTCTGGGATTTTCTCAATCTCCCAACTTTTAGAATTTTCGAAATTTTGATGTTTTGAATTTTTGGAATTACTCAATTTTTTGAATTTGGGAATATTGGAATCCTGGAATTTTGGAATTTCTTGGAAATTTTTTTTGAAAAGTTTGATTTCTTTGAGTTTTTTTTCGAATTTCCCAATTTTCGGGATTTTGGAATAACATTTTGTTTCATTAAATTTTGGTATTTTTGAATTTTTAGGTCTTTTTGGAATTTTTGATATTTTTGGATTTAGAGAATTTTTGGAGTGCTTGGATTTCTTGATTATTTTGGTTTTTTTTTCGGAATTACCCCATTTGGAGTTTAGGAATTTTAGGAATTTTAGAAGTTTTTGTAAATTTTGAAAATTTTCGGTTTTTTTTTGTTGGAATTTTTAGAATTTTCTGCATTTTTGAATTGTTTTGAATCTTCCAGTTTTTGGAATCTTCGGAATCTTTTGAATTTTTAGACTTCTTGGGTTTTCTCGATTTCTTGAATTCTAGGAATTCTAGGTTTCTTGAATTCGAATAATTAGGAATTTTCTGGTTTTTGGAAAATTTGTGGAATTTTGAAGTTAAGAACTTTTTTGAATTTTCAGATTATTTTTCATCATTTCCAGATCAAGCTAACACACATTGGACTTCTAAAACATTATTTTTTTTCCTTCCAAACTAGATAAATTAAACAAATAGAAAAAAATTCGTAAACTCAATTATGCACCTGTCCGGAAAATTATAATTCCTTTTTCCCCTATAAGGAAAAAAATCAAAAAATGACGAATTCCCTTTTTCTTATTTCAAAAAATAGACACATCTGTTACTATCTTAAATTTTAATCTTAGTTTGGTGTGTGCACTTTTTTTGGATGGTGCCAAATTTTTTCTTCAAAAAATGACGAATTTCTGTTTGGGAATCCTTGAAAAAGGTCAGACACCATATAAAACATATAAAACACTTCAAATTAGTTTTCATCATCGAAAATAGAGATTCTTAAGAAAATTTATTTTTAGAGCTCAAAATCATTTTTTTTGTTTTTTTTTTTTGATTTTTTTTGAAACTTTAATGATGAATGTGATCTGTCAAGCCCACGAATTCAAACGTCTATGACCTAAAAGTATAGTAATGAAGCCATATTTGATTTACAAGAAGACCCAAAGTTTTGGAATTTTTCGCTTAAAAACAAAAAATTCTGGAAGTCTTTGGATTTACCTGGAAGGTTCATTTTTAATTTTTTAAACTCCCTAATTGTGCTGGTCTGCTAGACTACAAACTATACAATTCTGAACTAGCAGAGCCAAATTATCTTTCCAATTGCCACTAATTCACCTGTCTGACTTTTATAATTCTATAATTTATGAATAATGAATAATAAGGTTCATTTGGAGTTCTGAATTTGAAATTTGAAATTTCGCAGGTGAAAATTTTCTCTTAATTTGAAATTTGGTATTTCTATTGGGAGATTCAGGATTCAGGATTCAGAATTTCTATAACAAACTTCTGAATTTTGAACTTCAGAATTTCATAGAATTTATGATTTCTGAATTTCCGAATTTCTGAATTTCTGAATTTCTGAATTTCTGAATTTCTGAATTTCTGACTTTCCGATTTCAAGATTTTCAAAAAATTCATAATTTGATTTTTGGACTCTGGATCTGATATACAGAATTCTGAAAATTTTGAAAATTTGGATGACTACAAACTACAAACGAAGCAGATCATTATTCCATGGGCGGCCGTAGTTGAAACCAGAATTTCTTATTTGCTTTTTTATTCCACAAATTTGATGACGACCTCAAAAACCAATTAGCCTTCTTTTTTTTATTCTTCAGGGTGCCAATAGGGGTGTCTAACACAAATTTCGTCATTTCTTTTTTCGAAATTTTATGTCTTCCCACCATCTTCCTCCGCCTCCGCTTCTTTTTTTCTACTTTCTAATCTCATGAGACTACTTTTTCCTTTTTTCGGGTTAAAAATTTTTGGTACGAAGATGATAGATTGTTTCGTGCTCTCTGAGCTTTTTTGCTGGGCCCCGCCCCCTTTTTGTGTGCACCACTGACTTTGGTTGGTCTGCTAGTTCTAGCTTTGTAATTTGTGATTTAGCAGACCTTTTTTCTCCTCGCTCTCTATTGAAATGGGTCTGCTAGGACACAAACTACAGTTCCTTTATTTAGCAGACCAAAATAATTATTTTCTTCCTGAACTTTTTTTCCACATTTTTTTTCGAGATTTTCAGATTTTTATACCTATTTTTTTGGAATTTCGCGATTTCTAGAAGTGCCGAGGAGTGTTTTTTATTTATTTGTCATAAATAATTTTTCAGAATTGTGAAAAATTCTGAAAAACAAAAAAATGAGTTCTGTAACTTTCCTATAACCTATAATTTTTTTTCTTTAAATTTTCCGGTAAATATAAAATTTTTGAACCACATCACTTTTTTCATATGGTCCGGTGGAAAAATATTTTGGGAATAAAAATTCCATAGTTTTCTAAATTTTTCAAAATTCTGAAAATTCCAATATTCAAATTTTTAAAAATTCAAAAATGTATGACCTTCCGAAAATCCAGAAATTCCCAAAATCACAAATATTCTTAAAATTCCATAATTCCAGAAGTTCCAAAAATTTAAAAATAACAGAAGTTTCGAAAATTCAAAAACACAAAAAATCCTTAAATCTCAAAAACTTCGAAAATCTCAAAATTCCAAAATTTTCGAAAATTCAAAATTTCAAAACGTTTAAATGTTCCCAAAATACCAAAAAATCTGAACATTCAAAAATGGCGGAAAATCCAAAATTTCAGAAAATTAGAATTCAGAAATTCAGAAGTTCTAAAATTTCCAAATATTAATAAAATTTCAAATTTCAGGAGGAAGTCCGAAATTCCAAAATTGCCAAAAATTCTAATCTTTCGAAAATTTCAAAAGTTCAATTGAAAATTTTGAAAACATTATTTTTTCAAAAAAAATCAATTTCACGAAACTCAAATTTTTGACTCATTCCAATTTCAAAATCCAAACCTCCGAACCCCATTACTACACCCACATCATTTCGTACACTTCCGGCTCCCCATCTAAATGTGGGCGTGGCCTATTTGTGCAATAAAACCGAACAAAGTGCAAATTGGAATTCTCACTCTTTTGAGAAATCTTTTTTCCTTTTCTTTTTAAACCAAAAAGAAAATAAATAGAGAAAATAATGGGACTGCTCTCCTCTCTTTTTACTACTTTTCTCTTCTCGGATCATCTGGAAAAAATACGGAATCCAATTTTTTCTCAAATTTTATTTGTTTGTTTTCGATCACCACCAGGATTTTTGATCAATTTTTTCTAAATTGGTTTCTTGATTTTTAGCATTTTGTGGGAATTTTTTGTTTTTTTAGAACTGAAAATTATTTTAGCATTCTGTGGGAGTTTTTTTTCAGAAAAAAAAAACATAGAAAATGAATATTTGTGCTAGGCACCAAAAGTTGGGGTTTCTCAGGGTTTTCAGATTTTCTCATGAAAGATTTTTTAAATAATATTATCATTTTCTGTTCAAATTCTGTATAAAAATGTTCCCTTCAGAACCGGAAATTTCCCATTTTCCAGAACTTTGAAATTTTTCAAATAATTCGAAATAATGTTAAAACTGATTGTGAATTGCAATTTAAGCCTGAAATTAATTGTTCGGTAAGAAAAAGCTAAATTAGAAACATAAGCAAACCAATCTAGCGAAGAGAAGGGTGTGTCACCCCCAATCCGCAAGCTTCAAGCTAAATTATCTCGCTTCCCACAAAAGATATTGAAAAGTAGTCAACTGATAACATGTTTGTCATAATATTTCAAATAATTTTATAGTTTACAGTTTTTTGATATCTTTTACAGAAATCGAGATAACTGTGGTCAAAGTAGAAGTAGCCAGTTGGGTCTGCTAGACTACAAACTACATAGGAAACATTAGCAGACACATCATGCGCGTATTAGAAATGCGTCAGTTGGGTCTGTTAGACTACAAACTACATAGGAAACATTAGCAGACCCATCCTGCGTGTAGTAGAAATTCATTAGTTGGGTCTGCTAGACTACAAACTACATAGGTAACATTAGCAGACCCATCCTGCGTGTAGTAGAAATTCATTAGTTGGGTCTGCTAGACTACAAACTACATAAGAAACATTAGCAGACCCATCTAGCGCGAATTAGAAATGCGTCATTTGGACCTGCTAGACTACAAACTACATAGGAAACATTAGCAGACCCACCATGCGCTTATTAGAAATGCGTCAATTGGGTCTGCTAGACTACAAACTACACTGGAATCATTAGCAGACCCATCATGCGCGTATTAGAAATGCGTCAATTGGGTCTGCTAGACTACAAACTACACTGGAATCATTAGCAGACCCATCATGCGCGTATTATGAATGCGTCAGTTGGGTCTGCTAGACTACAAACTACATAGGAAACATTAGCAGACCCATCATGCGCGTAGTAGGAATGCGTCAGTTGGGTCTGCTAGACTACAAACTACATAGGAAACATTAGCAGACCCATCATGCGCGTAGTAGGAATGCGTCAGTTGGGTCTGCTAGACTACAAACTACATAGGAAACGTTAGCAGACCCATCCTGCGCGTATTAGAAATGCGTCAGTTGGGTCTGCTAGACTACAAACTACACTGGTATCATTAGCAGACCCATCATGCGCGTATTATAAATGCGTCAGTTGGGTCTGCTAGACTACAAACTACATAGGAAACATTAGCAGACCCATCATGCGCGTAGTAGGAATGCGTCAGTTGGGGCTGATAGACTACAAACTACATAAGAAACATTAGCAGACCCCACTACAAACTACATGTTTTCTATTTTAGACTACAAACTACGATTTCCATATTTAGCAGACCAATTTTTCTATTCTCTTCCTCTTCTTTCATTTTTTCGTAATTTCGATTTTTTCCCATTTTTTGAAAAATTTCAACTTTTCAAATTTTCAGCAATACACCAAATTCCTCCAAAAATGAACAGTCTAACTGTCTGGGTTTTCCTCTCCGTGTGTACAATCTCTGCATTTTCTCTTCCATTCTATTCGAAAAGAGAGCTCGCTCCATCGCTGACTCTTCATCGAATTAATGCTCTCAAAGACACCATCGATCAGTTGAATGACATCAAAAAGGCAATGAGATGTCGGGAAAGAGGTAAAAAATTCAAAAAAAAAAAGAAAAATTCTGGTTACTTTTATGAAAAAATCAAGCTTCTAGCTCGATTTTGAAAGGAGTTATAGACCGATTTGCTCTGAGGACGCGGGTGAACGATTAAAAACCCCTGCGTCTCTACAGCGCCTCTACAGGTTTTGGTACTCTCTACATGTTTTTTTACTCGTTCACCCGCGCGATTATTTTGAATAGACAATAACTCCTTTCAAAATTGAGCTAGAAACTTGATTTTAATTGCAAAATATCATAAATTTCACATTTTATCTTTGCATAGTAAATTCAACTTGATTTTCAGCCAACGAGCTAGCATCAAAGCGCTCAAAACGAATGATCTCTCCATCCCTGCGTCTCTCCGAACTGATTGATCCATTGGTGACGGGAGAGAGTGTGCCAAGTGAGGAGGCGCAGATACAATCACAAATCGACGATGAATGTGTTGGATTTTATCACGATATTCCGTATTACTTTTAGATGAAATCTGTAAATCTGAATTTCGCTGTTTTTCAGCCATGAATTTTTCTTGTCTGCTTTTTTGAACACATTCTGAAAATCCAATGAAGTCATCTCAATTGTTTTTTATATTTTTCAGATTTTCAGAATTTTAGAATTTTAGAATTTCAGATATTTCAGAATTTTTTTTGAAAAACTAAAAAATTGATTCTTTAGAGTTTCAGTGGATTCTCTGTTAAACTTTTTGGATTACTGTATCACCTGAAATCTCAAATTCCCAAATTTTTAATATTTTTTGAAAAAAAAATCGTGAAATATTTTTTTCTCCAAAAAAAATTATCATCCTCTGATAAACTCTGATTCTCAAAAATCGAAATTCATTAAATGTTATTATTGAAAAAAAAATTTAAAATTCAATATGCTCATCATTTGGCAGTTCGCTGTTCTCCTCTTCATTATCAATCCCACCAAATGCGATAGTACAGTAACCACAGAGGAATCTAGAACCGTAACAAGGTGTTTTTGTGGAAAACGAATCTCAAATTCGAATTCCACGTTGCCAATTACTCCTACCTCTAAATTTTCCATAGTTGCAAAAGGCCATGCCGGGCCGGGCCGGTAGACGAATTTTCTCGGCCCGGCCCGACCCCGGGCCGGCCCGCCTACTGTTGAAATTTTCCAATGAAAATTTGGGTGATTTTTTTGAATTAAAAAAGAAAAAAAATGTTACATTATTTAACAAAATTAACAAAGTAGAAAGTAGTCGAAAAATAGGACGTTTTTGTTTAATTTTTTGAAAAAATTCCAAGAATTTCGATAAAAATTCAAAAAAAAAACAGCGTCTGTATGTACCCCGGCCCGGCCCGCCGAATTTCTCGACGGGCCGACCCGCGGGCCGGCCCGAGATTTTGCAACTATGAAATTTTCAAACCGCTAGCTCAAAGTGTCGTGAATTCTGGTGTTTAGTCCGTAATTCCGTGTTTGCGGACGAAACACCAGACTTTACTACACTTTGAGTTAGCGGTCTGAAAATTTGGAGGTAGGGGTAATGTGACACGTGGATTCTGGTGGTGGTGTCAGAAGTTTTAGTTTTTTTCAGTGCAACCATGGAAAAGACTCCGCAAACTTCTACAGTGCTCCCTGAAACATCGACAGTGCCAACTACAGTACTCCCAATAACTATTACAACAACAATAAGAATAATCAAAACCACAGTAACCGTCCCAAAGACTGCCACAAAAATGCCACTTGGCTTACAGAAGAAGGCTCCAATAGAAGACGTGACGTCTTCTAAACCAGAAGACGTTGAATGTGGCGGAGAACATATTTGTTTCGATGATCAGCCAATTGGAGAATCGGATGGGAAAAATTATTGGAACTTTATTTTTGCTCATTTTTTGGGATTTTTAGTTTTTAATTGGGCTGGGTGAAGTGGAATAATAAAAGTGTAGTTTGTGCTGGAGAGACTACAAACTACAAAAAATCGATTTTTTAAATCCTTGGAAACGTGGAACAGATTTTTTTCAAAAATCTAAAAAAAATAATTTTTTTTGAAGATTTCGAAAATTTTGTTTTTTTGGAAATCTAGAATTTTTACACGTGGATTTTCTAAAATGAGCAATTTTGGTTTTGTAAAAAATTTAAGAGCTGAAAAAATTTTTAAAAGTTAATTATTTTTATTATTCCAATTTTTCGATTTTATTTGGAAATCTGGAATTTTTCCACGTGGAATTTTTATAATTGGCAGTTTTGGATTGACTTTCGGAAAATGCAAGTTAAAAAACCTTAGAATGTTTTTTTTCGAAATTTTTTGAAAAAAAATCAAATGAAATTTTTTTTGTGAAATTTTAGGATTTTGTTTTTAGGAATCTGAAATCTGAAGAAGCAAAAAATAGGAAAAAAGTTTATTCTGAGGAATCTGAATTTCCGTTCTCTTTTTGGTTTTGTTTCCAAATTGGCTGATGAACTGAAAGATTTTTTGAATTTATCTTGTGCTGAAATGTTTTTTTGCAAAATGTTTTTTTTCAAAATTTCAAAATTCACCTTTACTTCATTTTCTTGTTTTTTATCGGCTAACTACTAGTAGAATCTTGTACGCTGAAATTTAAAAAAATTATTAGGTTGGCAGGAAAGTAACTGTCCATTTTTTTATTAGAAAATAACACAAACACAAGAATAACCCAGAATTAGCAACATGCACCGTCGTCATCCCCAACATGTTGGCAATGTTCAGGTAACCTGTGGGTACCACCCTTCCAAAAGCCAGCTAGTGGCAAGTCAAAGTATCCCTCCAGTCCATTTTTTCAGGCATCAAGTGTGTTAAAGTCCTCAAGCTCAAGTTATCTGAACATTGCCAACATGTCGTGGACCACGACGGTGCATACTGCTAATCTTGGATTACTTTTGTATTATTCACAAATAAAACAAGGGACAGTTACTTTACTGCCAACCTAATAAAAAATTAGAAAAAAAAACAGCTCACTTTAAATTCCCTTTCCAATAATCGATGCTCAGAACGTCTGAAAAAAGGATTACTGTAGATTTATTTTTTTTTAAATCGAATTGAACATTTTATAGAAAGACCAAAGAATTTCAAAGAACAAAGAATTACTTTTGACAGATTTTTGATACTTGAGGAAAATTTAAAACTGATTTTTAATTTTTTACCGAAGAGGTGATTTAAAAAAAAGGGGCGGAGCCTAGGAGGTTTAAAAATGAAATTAAAATAATAGCGGGAAATTTAAAAATTGAGGTTTCAAAAGTTAAAAAAAATTTTCTCGTGAACTTAAACTGTATATTTTGCCACGTGGCGGTCCTAATTTTATTCCCCATAAATAGCTGGAAAAATCTAAAAATCAATCAGTTTTTATCAAAAATAATTGTCCCGGAAAATCGACTAAAAGAAATCAGGCAGCAATTGTGAGTTTTTGAAATTTTCGAAGAAAATTTTATAAAATTTTATTTTCAATTTTAGAAAAGCTAACAAACGGCAATCGTATCAATTACCGAATCTCGTCGCTAGATACATTGAAATTTTCCAAAAAAATGTGAGATTTTGGAATTTGTAATTTTTTTTTCAAAAACTTATTTTTTTTCAGAAAAAATTGGAATTCATTTCTTCTGGGTGAAATTGTGGAAGAAGGATCAATGTGAACTTTTTTTGTAGAATAAAGTTGTTGATTGATCGATTTTTCTTTTTTTTTTCAAACTTTCTTGAATGAAGTTATTTAGAAAAAAATCTTGAAATTCTGTAATTCTGTAAATCATAAATTCTGAAGTTTCGAGTTTCTGAATCAGCATGCTTTCATAGTTGGAAATTTTGAAAAAAATCTGAAATTTCAGAAAAAATTCAAAATTTTTTATGTAAAAAACAAAAACAATATAGTAAAAAATCATTCCTTTCCGTCGTTTTTTTGTTCAAAAAATCACCTAGTTTTCTTTTTTCCTCTCTTCTAAAATTATCAATTTCCTATGCTATTTGTACAGTGAAAATCGGAAAAAAAATTGTCTGATAAGTGAGAAAAAAGAGGAAAAAGAGGAGAAAAAAAGTGTGTATTTGACTTCCAGCCAGCCCATCGACACGAATTTTTTAATTGCGAAATGTGGGTGAATTTCTTTTTTTGTGTTAATTTGAAAATAAAAAGGCAAGATTTTTAGTTTCATGCTTTGTGCTTGTGAGAAATTTCAAACTGTGTTTTTAACTGTTTTTTGTCATTTTTTGAAATAAATTTTTGAAAAAAATTGAAAATTCTGAAAGTTTAGCAATTTCTATTTTTAAACATATGTATTAGAATTTTAAGAATTCAGAAAGTTTGAAAATTTAAAACTTTCGGTATTTTAAATTTCGGAATTTTGGATTTTTGAATTTCGGAATTTTTGAATTTCTAAACTTCAACAATTTTAGTGGTTTAGAATTTCAGAAATCTTATGAATTTTAATTCGGAAGCCAAAAACCCCAAAAGCTCCAAAAAACTTCAATTTCAGACTCTCAGAATCCTAAAAATTTCAAAAATCCTCGAAAACCCGAAAATTACAAAAACTATAAAAAATAAAAATCCCAAATAATAAGAATTTCAGGGTCTCAGAATCTCTAAAAATCAAAACTTAAAATGTCATAAAACGCTGAAATAAACTTCTAGGTTTCTACATTTTTGAAAATTCAGAAATTCGATAAATTAAAAAAACCCAAAAACTTAGAAATGATTCCTATTTCCTCATATTTTCCGATATCTGAATTTTTTAAAAGTTAGGCTGAAAATGTGAAAATTCAAAAATTCTCAGGGTAAAAGACCAAGAAGTTGAGGATGAGGAAATGACGTCATCTGAAGCCACGTCATCATCACAATTTGAGAGACGACATAGAAGAGACTCAGACACGATAGCTATTGGGAATCAAGTGAGTCACATTTTGGTCTTCTAGACTACAAACTACACATTCAACCCCCTAAAAATGGCGTTAGATTGAAAATAGAAAGAAATGAGTATCAAATTCAATTTAAGCGCAAAATTTGGATCTGGAAACTTTTTTGAATGAAGTTTCAACGTTAAGTTTGAAGATGATGGTTGGTTTGCTCATGTTAGAGTTGTAGTTTGTAGTCTAGCAGACCCAATTGGCCCACCTTCAATGCGCGCATGATTGGTCTGCTAAAGTTTGTTCTGTAGTTTGTAGTCTAGCAGACCCAAGTGAAAGGCAACCCTAACCGAACAGAGTGGGCCTGCTAGGCTACAAACTACAAGGTAAACATTAGCAGGCCAACGCAAGAGGTGGCCTGCTAGTGATTTCTTTGTAGTTTGTAGTTGAACATGCCAAAACGAATGGAGCGTGCGCATTGAAAGTTGGTCTGCTAATGTTGGAGCTGTAGTTAGTAGTCTAGCAGACCCAAGTGAGAGGAGATACCCAGTGAAGACAGTGGGCCTACTAGGCCACAAACTACAAGGCGAACACTAGAAGACCCACGCGTTCACTTTAATAGTTCTTTCTTGTAGTTTGTAGTCTAGCAGACCCAACTTTACGGTAAAATCAAGGCGAAAAACCTCAAATTCGAGCTAAAAACAAAAAGAAAAAAAACGTTCTGCTAAAAAAATACGAGAAATTCAAATCTGACACTCTTTTCACAGGCAACTGCCAACAAAACCGTCCGTTTTCCGTCAGCTCAATTAACAAATGAGGATTTTGTGAGGATAGACTCATGGAGGCACGATAGAGGATCAGAAGAAAGAGAGTCCGGGGGAAATTGGAAAAGTGAGATTTTTAGAATTTTTCTGAAAAAGTTTTGGAAACTTTTTTTAATTTCTGAAAATAAAAAAATATTCTTGCAGCATTTTTCCAACGCTGTGGATGTATAGAATCCATTCGACACTGGTCCAGAAGACGTCAATTTTGTCTGGCAAGTCTTGTCATTTTACTGCTATTTTTTATTGCTTCTGCAATCGTTTTATTGATTTTGTTGCTGGTTAATAGTGGTGAGAAATTTTTTTTTTGGATCTGAAAACCCAAAAATCTGGAATATTAAAATTTCTAGTCATTTAGAAGTTTGAAGATATTGAAAACTCAGACGATTTATTCTGAAAGAAAAAATTGAAATTTCGAAATTTAAGGAATTATTGAAAAACGTTGAATTTTGGGAATTTTCAAAATTTAGGAATCAAAACTTTAGAATTTTTAGAATTTCATAATTTTTGAATTTTGAAGAGCTTTCGGATTCTAGAAAATTTCAGGAATATATGCAATTTTTGAGTTTAGGAATTTTCAGTTTGTAGGAATTTTTGAATTTCAAGAATTTCCAAATTTTAGGTACCAGTAACCACAATTACGACGTTCTGACGAGTCCAGTACCCCCACCAACACCACCGAAACCACCAACAGTAGCTCCAGAATCTCCATATCTCTCAGCTTTTGTCTTTAAAACAACTTCTGAATTCTACGATTTCCAAGTGAAGAATTTAACTTCATTTACTCCGGAAAATCTAGGTTACAAGTGGCAAAACCGGATTTTCGGATGGTCCCAAATTTCAAAAAATCTCGTTGTTTTCAATCCAAACACTACGAAATCCCAGATTTTCATTTTGGATTTTTTGGATACCTGGGATTGTTCAACCTGTCAAATTCTGAAAATTCGAGATAACGTGGCAAATCTAGGGATCAATGACGTCATCTATTGTTGCTCAGATTGTGTGGGCGGAGTTTATCACTGCTCCGTGAGAGGATTCCAATTTGAGATCCAAGATCCACCATGTGAGATTCAAATTCTGAACAACGACGATTTGTACATGATGACGTGGCAGGCTAGCACATGTACACTACAAACTACAATGTTGAATGGAACTGATGGATTTATGCAAATCGGAGAGACTTCGAAATGCCCAAATACCACAACGCCTACAAAACTGTTGAATCCGATTCAGAATCTTGTGACGTCTTCTGAATTTCTAACTGGAAGTTTGGAAAATGGTCCCTCATGGGTTTTGGATACTGTAGTTAGTAGGAAGGGTGATTTGGTACTTTTCGATATTTATCAAAATTTGACAAATGTTGTGTACTACGGGATGAGCGTTAATGGAACCAATGGTACGGATACGGGAGCAAGGGTGTAAGTTTTTTTCAATTTTCCAAAAAATTTAGATGAAAATGAACTAGAAATTTGGATTCCTCACAAAAAACTAGTCTGCAAGTTTTTTTCCCGGTCGAAAACAGTCAAAATAAAAAGAAATCGTTGAAAATGATTGGTCTGCTTGGCTACAAACTACAGAATGAGAATTAGCAGGCCAACGGACAGTTTTGTCGGCAAAATGAGTGTCAAATTCAAAAATTCCGTAATTTTTTGAGCAGAAAACCTATTTTATTTTTGTGTCTAGCACGAATTTGAAGGTTTTTACCTTGAAGTTGGGCCTGCTAGACTACAAACTACAAAGGAATCACTAGCAGGGCAACTTTTCTAGTGAACGCGTGGGTCTGCTAGTGTTCGAGTTGTAGTTTGTAGGCTAGCAGACCCACTCTCTTCACTTATATTCTCCTTTAACTTGGGCCTGCTAGACTACAAACTACAGCTTCAACATTAGCAGGCTAACTCTAACCTTCAAACGTATCGCTAGAACTTCGTTTTAAAAAGTGTCTAGACCTAAATTTTGAGCTGAGCACGAATTTTATATGCATTTCTGTCTATTTTCAGAATTTCCACTCGTATCGACGACGATATTGAACATCAACTGATCGCTGTGATCTACCCTACCCATTTTTACGTTACACGAAAAAATCTACAATCTGGATGTGTTACAATTTTGACGGACCCAGGATACACCGAATATCGATTTGGCGGCGTTTTTGGGGGCGGAGCTTGGATTGGTGACGAGTTGATGTTATGGTTTTTGGAAAGGGGCGGAGTCAATTATGCCACGTTTCAATTCAAATTTCCCGATGATTATTCATGTCCCCATCAGAAGCCATTTGATTGAGATTGTTTTTGAAATTTTTACGGGTTATTTTTTGAAAATAAAACTTTTTCTCCTATTTTCAATTTTTTGAGTTTTGAACATCTGAAGAATCGAAGATCTAGAGTTCAAAACTTCACTAAAAACCAGAAATCGACTTTGCCTTCAAGCTGTGAAAATCTCCTAGATACCAAAAACCATGACAACGACTTTTCAAAGTTTTCCACACTTTTGCTCTTCATTCTTTTTCACTTCCCTGTCTCAAAAATGAATCCTTCCCGTCTGATTTCAGTTTTGTTTTTCCTATTTTTCCCATCTCAAAATTCAAGAGAAAGATTACAAAATGGTGACCGTAAGGGGAGCCCCTGAGCCATACTCCAGTTTCCCAATGTCAGTAAACACGGGAGCATGGGATGAATGTGTCCAGATATGTTTCTTGAAATACAGTTGTTTTTTGGCTTATTCGAATAGTTCATTGATGTGTGTACTGTATGGAGCAGGAGATGTTAGAAAGATAAGGAATGATCAAGAGGAGTCAGAAACTCTAGAGAAGGTTTCTTTCAAGGTTATTAAGCTTAGATTGAAGATGATAGTTGCTTACTGATTCTTATCTTTTTTCTATCAAAAACCAAAATAATTAAGATCGAAACTACTAACAAGTGTTCAAGTGATCCATCTGGAATGTTTGATGGGATGTTATCTAGTTTCAAGAATTCTAAATTTAATACTGCTGAAATTATCACATCAGAAAATTACTATGAAGTTAAAATTATTTCCGAGAACATAACCGACTGTGGGATGCAAATTAGACCTGAAATTGATTTTTCGGTTTCAATTCTTGGGCTCTTCATGTTCATATGTAAGCCTCAATTTGAGATTTTCACGTAAATTTCAATTTTTTTCAGTGGTGATTTTGTTGCAACAGGATACATCATCATTTCCCCGGCATCGTCATTTCCCCGGCAAAAAAGACTGAATATTCATTCTATATTCACTTGAACAAAATTGTTAAAACTCTCGACTTCTGTATTACAGGATTTTTTAAAAAGATTCATTTTGTTTTGAATTATTAGATGAGGATCCAAGGAGATGAAAGATATATGCATCATACAAAAAATGTGGTTAAAAAAAGGATACAAAAATTAACCGAGTTTAACAAAATTAGATCAAAAATTAGGTCCTATGAACGATGAGATTTCAAAACTTTCAAACGGAAAAAAAGAGATTTCGGGTATTGAGATTTTAACTTTTTCATAAATAAATACAAAGAGATTCCAATAAAACAGTTCCTACATCAAATTAATCAATCCAACTGACGCATATCTGGCTCTTCTCGGATTCCCAAATTGCCAACTATTCTCCATGCAGTGGTACTGCAACTCTTCCTTTTTCAAAAGAATCTCATGAAGTCTCTCCTGACACATCCCCTCCGATTGCTCATCCTTCTCAACCTCATTGAACTCAATAAACCAGTTATCCGATCCATGACTCTCCCACTCCGCCGACAGCGATTTCCAAAGCTTCTGAGGCTTTCCAACCACATCATAAACAGCCATCAAAGATGACCAGAGACTATTATGGAAGATCGGAATCTCGGTTGGCTTTTTGAATTTCTTCAACTCCTTCTCTTCAGCGAAGCTTCTGAATTCCTTGACAATGCCGTTGGATTTCCCCTTCTCCATCACTGTAAGGTACCAGTTTTCGAGCATCGTTGGAGTTGGAGATGGCTGATTAGCTGGCTTGACAGGGAAAATGTAGTTGTCCCCTTGGATCGGAGGATCCGCCCAGAGGTAGCTATGAGATAGTCCGATATTTCTTGCCAAATCGAAGTAGATCAAAACCAACTCCTGATAGACTTTAGTCCTGAGGGAGACTGGCTCGAACATCTTGATGCTATCCAGACAGTCAATTACCATCCATGTCTTCCTAAGGTTACGGTATTCAGATGCGAAAATTGAGAAGACGATTTGATCTACGTTATTTTGCCTCTGGAAGACGTGGATTGCGCGTGAGGCGAATTTGATGACCGTCCCATACTTGGCAATGAATTTTGACTTCCAGGAGGGTGGAGCCAAGTCTCCAGTCTTTACGGAGTCATCTGGAAAATGCAGTACCGGTTAATAAAATGATTTTTGGAAAATTTGACCATTTTTCAGGAGTCTGGAGCTCTTTGAAAATTTTGGAGGGTGTAAAACAGACCTAGATTGGAAATGCCATGCCGTTTTTCACATGTTCAGTACAAACACGATTGAAAATTGTTTTTTTTCAACTTTTCATGTTTCCTAGCGATTTTATCGCAAGAAATTGAGTTTCAAGTCGCTTTGTAACCCAAAAATTCGAATTTCGCACGTCGACATGTCCACGAGGAGTACAAAACATGAAATCTTCAAATTTGTTTTTGAAAAATTCGATTTTTTATGATTCCAAGTGATTTTCCAGCAAAACACCGAGTTTTCAGCTGCTTTGTAACCCAAAAATTCAAATTTCACGCGTCAACTTGTCCACGAGGAGTACAAAACCCAAAACCCCCGGTTGGTCGAATTTCAATGGTTTTTAGTCATTGTTTTAGGTTTTTCGAATTTTCGGACTTTTCAAATTGAAAAGACTTTTTTGGAGTTTCAGGAAATTCAGGCTTTTTGGAATTCGAGGAATTTTTGGAAAAATTTGAAAACTTGAAAAATTCCAAAAGATCCTAACATTCCTGATGCTTCAAAAAAATCCTACAAATTTGAAAAATCCTAAAATTCGAAAATCCTAAAAAACTTTCAAAGTGATTCGAAAAGACGGAAAATTGGGTCTTTCAGGAATCGGCAAAAAGCTGAAACACTAGAAAATTTTAAAAAATTCGCTGAATGCAAAGTTTTTAATCCAGGCCTGTTTTACACTCTCCAAAGTTTTCAAAGAACTCCAGACACCTAGAAATGCCGAAAATTAACTGAAAAATATGTTCTTACTCACCGGCACTGTAAAAAGTGCGCACTGAAATTTTCTGGAATTCCTGGTCTTCTTCCAGAGCCTCCTCCAAAAATCCATTGATCCTTTCCTCGATGAAATTTGAGTCTGGGGAAGATCCAGAGGCATCTAGCATCAATTTGAAGGCTTCTGGAGCACAAGTCCTGCACAGAAACTGCTCAGGCTCTCCGTAGAAAAATGAGCAACACTGATGCCAGAGTCCAGAGCATTCTTGGCACTTGAAGACTTCTTCAATTCTGTCATTGATATTTTTTTCTTGTTTCCAGCCATCCTTATTTCCCATTTCCTTGAAGCATGTGGTACAAACTGCCTCCTGGAATTCTCCTTGTTGCTTTCTAGGGACCCAGTAGATGTCGTTGGGACGGATACGGCAATCTGGGGCTCCAGAAGTGCATTGGTGGTTGAAGTTCGAGTAGGTGAGATCGGGATTTTCAGAACAGCACATGAATTGAGGCTCCTAAAATAGGAGAAAAATCTTAAAACAGATGTTTAGAAATCGTTTTCGAGGCTTTGCTATGTTCAAAATGTAGTTTATATGCTAAGATGTAAACTAATAAAATGTGTAGAATTTTATCCTATTCATTCAGTTTTTCTCTAGCTCTTATAGTTTTCAAGATAATCGCATTCAAAGATTGGAGTTATAATAAGTCTGCTAGACTACAAACTACACAAGAAACATTAGCAGACCCATCATGCGCGCCTTACTAGGGAAGGCGCCAACTCGGGTGTGGCGATACGGGTGGTGACCTATATCATCTGAAAGCTGACATTTTCCTGATTTCAAATCTGTTTTTAAAAAGTGCTTTGTCGCGGTAGTTTTTGAGAAAATTGGGTCGAAAGTTTCGAAAAATGACGTGGATTTTCAATCTCATTTTCCTTCCTCACGTATATAAGTTTTACTGTGTTGAAAGATTGTGGAAGCGTGGTCGAATGGTTAGTAAGGAAGAATATGGAGCGGGTGCTTTCTGGTTCGACTCTTTTTTTGAACTAATTCTAGCATTAAAAATTTTTTTTCGAAAATTGAAAAAATGCCAAGGGGTTACCCCATGGCGATTTTCTCAAAAAAAATTTTTCCGAGAAAAAGAGAAAACCTTTTCAGATTGTAGAAAAGCATACAAAATACGGGTAACATTCAAATATAGCCAAAAAAAAAGTCAATAATTCCTTCATAAACTAACTCCAAAAATGAGAAATTAGTACTGTAATCACTTTCATAGCTTATATCTTTTTTCACAGGGCCGGGGTGGAAAAACTGATTTCAGTTCTGTAATCAGCGTACCCAAAAGTACCAATGACAATAGTTTGAGCAAAATCAAAAACATGCGGTTTGTCTAGAATCTTCAATGGATCACAATCCTTTGCAAATCTTGGAAAAATAGATGAAAACAAAAAGTTTCGAAAATAATTGGTAAAACACTCAAAATCAAAATTTCTACCAATTCCAAGTATATAAAACCATATAGGATCACCTAGAATTCAGATACAGTCACCAGAAAAAAACGAAGAAAAAATTCAAAAAAAGTTTAGCATCTCGAGGGAGTCGAGCCAGAAAGTACCCGCTTCCTATTCTTCCCCACTTACCATTCGACCATGCTTCCACATTCTTTCAACGCTTCAAAACTTGTATACGTGAGGAAGGAAAATGAGATGAAAAATCCACGTCATTTTCTGAAACTTTCGACCCAATTTTCTCGAAAACTACCACGACAAAGCACTTTTTGAAAACAGATTTGGAATCAGGAAAATGTCAGCTTTCAGATGATATAGGTCACCACACGTATCGCCACAACCGAGTTGGCGCCTTCCCTAGTTAGAAATCCCTCAGTTGGGCCTGCTAGGCTACAAACTACATGAGAAACATTAGCCGACCCATGATGCGTGCATTGAAGATAGGCCTGCTAGACTACAAACTACAAAAGAAACATTAGCAGACCAATATCGCGCGCATTAGAAATGCGTCAGTTGGGCCTGCTAGAATACAAACTACATAGGAAACATTAGCAGACCAATCTAGCGCGCTTTGAAGAGCCTTTTATCCTTAACTTTGCCCAATGACCAATTATCTCTGTCCCTATAAGAGATATCAAAAATCTGTAAACTGATAAAATGTTTATCATAATATCAACAACATTTTGTAGTTAACAGTTTTTTGATATCTTTCACAGGAATTGAGATAATTGGGCTCAAACATTGTTACAAGTGTTACGTAATTAAAAACGCATATTTTAACTCAAAAAAGATTCCAAAGCGATTTTTGCAAATATTTTTTTTTGAAGTTAGCTTTAGAATTCAGATGTATAAGTTTATAAAAGGGTACCTGTCTTTTTGCTTTCTTCAATTTTTCATATCGAATTCCATGGGTCTCTTCTTTTTCCAAATCCTCATGCCCTCTCTTTTTTTGCTCTTTGATGACTAACGTATAGTTCTCGGGTGTCTGAAATTGGGAAAGCATCTTTTTCGAGCTATTTGCATTTTCAGAATTCCCAAAATTCCACTCACCTCGTTCTTGTCTTTTCGAATCTCGCTGAACTCTCCAGTTGCGTTTTCAATGTCCGGGGAAGAAGTAGAGGATGATTCCTCATTTTGCACGTTTCCAGATATGAATGATCCGAGAAAGTTTTGAATTCCTGTCATTGGGGACATATGATCCCGGGGGCACGAGATGGCCGGGGAGTGCTGGGTGGAGGCCTGGAAAATCTGTTCTTTCTATGTTTTCAGAATCTTCTCTAGAATAAAATTTTTGAAATGTAAATTTTTTCAGAACTTTAGAAAATAAAGAAATAAAAAACTCACTTTTGCATACTGGCTCTGTAATTCCAGATTCTTTGAATCGACGATTTCGAAAATTATAATTTTCTGAAAATTGTGAAAATCTATAAATTACAATTTTTCATAAATTTAATCAAAAAAATCCTGTGAGGTTTAGAAAATCATAATTTTCTAAAATTCGTTATAAAGTGGACAACTAAAAACATAACCAGCCATGCCAAGCTGAAACTTTTTGAGCTCAATTATCTCAATTCCTATGAGAGATATCAAAAACCTGTAAACTGATAAAATATAGCTTATATTGTGATAAATATTTTATCAGTAACAATTTGTTGATATCTTCTACAAGAACCGAGATAATTCAACTCAAAATCGACGGTTTGGGTGGGCTTTTAATAGACGCCCACAAAAAACCGTCCACTTTGAGTTCATATTATCTCGGTTACTGTAAGAGATATCAAAAATCTGTAAACTGATAAAATATAGCTTATATTATGATAAACATTTTACCAGCTGGTCAATTTTCGATTTCTCTTATAAGAACCGAGATATGTAAGCTCAAAGTGTATGTATATCTACTATCAGAGGAAATACGGGAATTAGCTAATTAGCCAAATTAGGAAATATTCTCTAATTGCCAATTTTTCCAACTAAAATCCTCCAAAAAGATCGATTCAAAAACAGTAAGAAAAAGAGGGGAAAGAATGGAAATGGGATGATAAAAAGCGATGAAAAGGGCAGGCACAGGAACGAGATAGTGTGTTATTTGAGGAGATTACAGAGAAATTGTAATGGGAATTGAGAACCAATCGATGGGAATATGGAAAGCAAAAAGAAAGGAGTTGTCAACATTTCGAAAAAAACCATTTGAATAGTGTGCAAAATAAGATTTAAAAAAATCGATGGGTTCTGAAATTCCGAAAATTCTAGTTTCTGATGTTCTGATGTTCTAAATCCATTTTTAATCTCATCTTTCCCCTTGGCACCGTAATTTCAGCTAGAGGATTCTGTACTTTGTGGGATACTGTATTTTCTGAGATACTGTAATTTTTGGGATACTGTAAGTTTTATGATACTGTGATTTTCCGGGATGCTTCAGTTTTAGGGATACTGTGTTTTTTGAGATACTCTAATTTTTGGGATACATTTATTTTTGGGAAACTGTACTTTTAGAAATACTGTACTTCTAGGGATACTGTATTTTCTGGGATCCTTTTAGGGAATTAGGTTTCCGATTTGATAAAAATATTTCGAAAAAGGGAACTTTCAGATAAAAACAAAATTCCAGAATTTCAAATTTTTTCAAATTTCGGACAAATTTCAAAATCTTAATTCTCCCATAAAAATGTCTGTTACTTGGCCAATGACCAGCTTCAAAGCCTATGCAAAATACCAAGGTCATTTTCTATTTCTCTGCGTCTCTCCAGAACAGTACACTCTCTCGCCCTCTGGGGTGTGTATCTGCGACCTCGTGGATACCAAAACATGAGGAAGAAAAACAACATTTTTCGAATCGGAAAAATACAGTATCTCAGGAAGTCCAGTACCCTAAAAGTACAGTAACCCTAAAAAAGGTATTCCTGAAAAACTAACAATATCTCCAAAAGTACAGTACCCCTGAAAGTACAGTATTCCTTAGCATTTTAAAACTTCGAAAACTTCCAGAATTTCAAATTTTTTGAATCATCAAAAAAAATTAATTTTTTGTTAGAAAATACCAGAAATTAAGATTTTTGGAATATAAAAAAATTTAGAATTTCAGAAAACCAGAAAAGTAAAATACCAATACACAGTATCCCCTAAAAGTACAGTATACCTTAAAGTACAGTACCCTAAATTTCCAGAACTTCATAATTTTTGAATTTTCAAAGAAAAAAATCAATTTTTTGTTGAAAAATATCAAACCTACAGGAATTTTAATTTTAGGAATATAAAAAGAAATTCAGAATTTTAAAAATCAGAAAAAAATACACAGTATTCCTAAAAGTGTAGTACCCCTAAAATGAGAAAATTCAGTACCCTTGACATTGGAAAAGTACAGTACCCCCTAGCTAAAACTATGGTATCTATGTAGAAAGTAAATTACAGTATCCCTAACATAGGAATATTCTATGAGATGGGAAAAGTACAGCATCCTCTAGTTAAAAATAAATAATGTATTTTTTCCGTAAGAAGTAAATTACAGTATCCCTGACATTGGAATTGTCCGAAAGTACAGTACCCCAAGAACGGGACAATTACAGTACTCTCTAGCTAAAACTATGGTATCTATGTAAAATAAAAAATGAAAGGGACATCCGACTACAAACGGATGAGCAATGATGACCTTTGTTTATAATATACTTATCGGTGGGGCGGGGGTGTGAACACTGACACCGAAATATGATCTCCCGACAGCAGATCAAAAAAAGGGAATAAGATTTATGGGCAGCAGATGGTCCGACTACTTTCTATGAACTTACCAAGTGAAAATTTCTTTTGAGTTTATCATTAAGATTTTGCCTTAGGGCCCTTCTATTAGAGAGACCATTCTAATACTTTTTCAATGGTTCCAGGGGTTCTTAACACAAGAGAAACAAGAAAATGCAAATCGACTTTATTAGTTAAAGAAAAAAACGGTAGAAAAATCTGATAATTGGCATTTCTGAGGGTTTGAGATAGCAGAAACCATTGTAGTTGTGGTGACAGGAAGCGTCTGGAAAAATGAGATATTGAGAATATTCAGAGTTAGATTCGTCAAAACACTTTAAAACTAAAAAGCGGTCATTTTTAGCTCTTGGAATTTTTTGAAGTTTTTATTGTTTAAAGTTTGAATTTCCTGGAATTTCTGAGTTCCCAAAACATCGTATTATCTGGGAACTTCGAAATATTCATGTAAAAGTTTTACTGTGTTGAAAAAAAAATATTCAAAAAATGAGTAATAACAAAACACACCTAGAATGAACTAAAATTATATCCCAACTGAAATTTTCCGGACTCAAAATGTGCTAAAGAATTTTTGTCTTATCAGTCTGCCTCCCGATCTGACATCATTGGTCTCTAAAAACACGAAACTTCCGTCAGGAAATTCAAGACAACGTAAGACTAAATGATTCAGAGCAGTTAAATGATTCAGAGCAGTTAAAAAGCCGTTAAAAGGAAACTTTGAAACATCCTATTTCAATTTTTTGCACTGATCGTCTTATCAGTAACCCACAACCCGCAAATAAAAACCCTCCGGGAGGAGTGCAGATTGTCAAAAAAAAAATACCCATTAATGTTTCTTATCTTTCTTACCTCATGGTTTTCCATTAATCCAATTTTTTCAGGTAATGATCTTCCCAAAACTCATGAAGTTTACAATTTTTGCTCTCCTCTTCGGAATCATCCATTGCTCATCCGTATGTCCCGATGGATATGCAATGGTCCTGGACAAGTGTCTAATGGCCATCAAGAATCCAATGACACATTCTCAAGCTGAAACCGCTTGTACTTATACCGGAGGAACCTTGGTTAACATCAAAAGTGCCATCGTGAGTTTTTTGTTAAATAAAATAATCTTACAGGTACAATTTTTTAATGTTCAGGAGAACCGAGCCGTGTCCCAATTCGCCTCGAACTCTGGAATCAATCAAACTTGGATTGGGTTGTTCTGCTTCGACAATAAAAACCCTTCGAAATGTTTCTACGATGATTATTCTGGAACTTCTGCCCTCTATGACAATTTTGCCAGTGGTTACCCCATGGTTGATGGTATTTATGGTGGATGTGTCTATACTTCAACCAGTGGATCGTTGGCTGGTAGATGGGTCAGTGTCAAATGTGAAGCAGAGAGTATGCCATTCATTTGTGAAATGCCGATTTCTACTTATGGTGAGTTCCGGGATTTATAGGATTTAAAGAAGCTCCTTGAGGATTTGAACATCGAAATCCTCCGAAATCTCTAAATCTGAATATTTTCAAAGTCCCATTTCTTTTCAGATGCTTCCTGCCCTCACAACTACAATGATTTCTGCTATCTCAAATCCTCTGAAATGCCAATTGCCACTGGAAAATTCGGAGACGCCTTAAAAATCTGTGAGGCTCAAAATGGCTCTCTCGTTTCAATCCATTCAAAACGAGAAATCGACTATATCAAAAGTCTCTACAGAGATCAAACTAGCATTCGGACCATCTTGATTGGAGCTCAACTAGTTCTCCCGAACCTCTATTCCTGGACTGATGGCTCTAATTTCGAAAGCTTCGATTATAGAGATCCTTTGAGTTCTGCATCCAATAATGATAACAAGTGCCTCTTCATGGATATTTCATCAGGATTATGGTCCAGTGGCACTTGTGACTATATTGGGAGCTCCTTCCTGTGCAAAATTCCACTCTCCGTCGTTCCAACTCCCCAGTCTGAAATTTTGTCGGAAAGCAACCCTTCAGACTTCTCCAAATGCAATACCACTTTTCTAATGGCTCCTGGAGAATTCACTTCTTATGGATACCTTAGCACTGATCCAGCTGAGCCACCGGTTTACTGTACATGGAAAATCGTCACCACTGGTGCTTACAAAATGAGATTGTTCTTCACTGATGTCAACACTTATAACCCCATCTATGTCTATGCAGAAAATGGAAACGAAATCGAACGGGTTAGATACAGTTCATCCTCTGTGATTTCTCGATCCAACATCGTGAATGTGGCATTCCAAGCGTCTGGACGTCCTGGTTACACTGGATTCAAAGCTGTGGTTCTGGCTTATTGATGTTTCTTTCGTTTTGTTTTTCACAAATAAAGTTAACTTGCATTAACCTTTTTTTCGAATTTCAAAAGATACATGTAGTCCAAATCCCAAGCTGTTGAACCAAAAAATTAATACCAAAAAATTAATTTAAAAAAAATATTTTTTACAAAAAGTATTTCGAAAAAAAAATCTGCTAAAATTTCTGAAAACCAAGCTTAAAATCTGTTTGTGTTTTTTTGAAAAATGCGAAAAATGAGATGAAAACAGTAATAAAGTTCAACAAATGGCATATTTCAGAAAAATGCACAAGTGGCTCAGCGCGATATTTCACAATTTCCACTATCAATCTGACGTCCCGGGTTCGATTCCACTGCGTGTCAAACCTTTTGTTGAACGGAGTGTATCTTGGAAATGGGGTTCTGTTATAAGTTCCACTAAAGCTCTCAATATTATTTCCATACTGATCAGAGATGTTCAATGCTCCGTAACTGGCCCAGAAATCGAAATAGATGCCTAGGCGATAAGGTCCAAGGGCTCGAATCTGCCAGGTACAGTAAGAAGATGGAGCATTGGGATAGCCAAATGAGAAGATGGAGCCAGGAGCTAGAAGGAGGGTTGTGTTGCAGTTGGAAGCGTCTGGAAGGTTTTCTGGAAGTTTCGGCTCCTTGGTAGATCGGATTTCATGGTTCCTAGATAGTGCAGGTTTCCTGGTGGTAAGAGATGCATGAGTTGAATCCGTATAAAACAAACTTTTACACAGGTACTCGAATTTCTGACTGCAATCCACTTGGGACCATAATTCATCACCTTGAACATCCATAACCAGACAATTTCCTTTTTGGAAGTTTAAAAGATACATAGAAATCCCAACTTGTTCCGCCCGTTGAATCTGAAAATCAATATTTTTAGATTCAACAAATTTTGTAGCCTGGGGTCTGTTTGTAAGTTTAAAAGCGCGAAAATCAACTGAAAACAGTTTCAAAAGTTTAAAAAAGGCATTTTTCAGAAAATTACACTACACTAATGGCTCAGTGGGAAATTTTACAATTTCTACTACCAATCTGACGACCCTGAGTGTTTGAGCTTCCTCAATTCTTACAATTTAAATTTTGATTGTTCAAATTTTTCAGATTACCTTGTATAGAGTTTGACGTAACTAACACCACCCACATGGCCATCAAAACCCCTTATCAGTAAAAGTTATTTGTTCAAAAATTCCCCTACGAACAACTGTACACACACATATAAACTCACCTGATTGCCGAAAAAATTGTTGCGAAAAATGATTTTTCTCCTTTTTCTTCTTCTCCCCTCAGTTTTTAGCCTAATTTGCCCAGAAGGATATTTTCTGGTGAACGAGTCGAAATGCCTAAAAATGGTTTGGACCAAGATGGGACATCGAGATGCAGAGGTCACTTGTAAAGCGTCTGGAGGCACATTGGTCACTATTAAAAACGCTATTGTGGGTTTTTCTTGAAATTCAGAAATTCAGAAATTCAGAAATTCAGAAATTCAGAAATTCAGAAATTCAGAAATTCAGAAATTCAGAAATTCAGAAATTCAGAAATTCAGAAATTCAGAAATTCAGAAATTCAGAAATTCAGAAATTCAGAAATTCAGAAATTCAGAAATTCAGAAATTCAGAAATTCAGAAATTCAGAAATTCGGAAATTCAGAAATTCAGAAATTCAGAAATTCAGAAATTCAGAAATTCAGAAATTCAGAAATTCAGAAATTCAGAAATTCAGAAATTCAGAAATTCAGAAATTCAGAAATTCAGAAATTCAGAAATTCAGAAATTCAGAAATTCAGAAATTCAGATTTCCAATTAATTCTTCAATTTTTAAATTTTCAAACTTCTCTAGAAATTTTTAGGACAACCAAGCAGTGTACAACTTTGCGAATCAAGGAGGCGTCGAGGCCATTTGGATTGGAATCTCCTGTTTCGGCAACACTTCATCTTCCTGCTTCTGGGATGACGCTTCTGGATCCGCAGTGTCTTATAACAACTTTCCAGCTGGCTCAATATATGCTCCTTGCACTTCCATGCAAACCGGCGATTTTCAGTCACTCCAGGGAAAATGGATTACCCGAGATTGTTATGACTATCCTGGAATGTCTATGTTCTCCCCAATGCCATTCGTCTGTGAAGTTCCGTCTACTGTGAAGCGTGAGTCAACAACTTTGAGCTTATATATCTACTTTCCTGTTAAAGATATCAAAAAGTTGTCAACAGGTAACATATTCATCATAATATTATCTACATTTAATCAGTTGACACCTTTTTGATATCTTTCACAAGAACCGAGATAATCAGGCTCAAAAAGTTTGAGCTTGGTGGATGGCTGGTTGCGTGAACAATTACAACCGTTATTGCTATGTGAAATCAATGAACTTGGGAATGGGAACCGAAAACCGTGCTGATACTGGGACAAATGCTGACCGGATCTGTAAATCTTTCGGAAGAAATCTACCTTCGATTCATTCAAAAATGGAAGTGGACTATATTCGAAATTTGTACAACGGAACGAACACCACACATGTCTATATTGGAGGGCAAGCAGGAACAGGGGACAGGTGACGCGGCTTCAAATTTCGGAAACCAAGCTTAAAGTCTGTCTTTGAGTTTTAAAAGTGCGAAAAATGAGCTGAAAACAGTGGAAACGTGCGAAAAACGGTAATTTTCAGAAAAATGCACAAGTGGCTCAGTGGGAGATTTCACAATTTCCACTATCAATCCAACGACCCGGGTTCGGTTTCATTCGGTGAAAAAACTTTTTTATTTTTGTTTAAACCGATTTGAAATCATTCTAGACGGTCCAAGAAGCTGGAAAAAGTACAAAGTTCAAAAAAAAAAATTTCCGAAAAATAATCATACAATTTTTTTCAATCCGGTTTCGGGTCTCTAGAACCTTCTAGAATAATTTGAAATCGATTTAAACGAAGTTAAAAACGTTTTGCCACCGAGGGGAATCGAACCCGGGTCGTCAGATTGGTAAATTGAGAAATCTCCCACTGAGCCATTCGACCATTTTTCTGAAAAATGCAATTTTTCGCACTTTTTTACCGTTTGCAGCTCATTTTTCGCAGTTTCAAGACACAAATACAGATTTTAAGCTCAGTTTTCAGCAATTTTAAAAGTTTTTTTTTTCGAAATTTTTGATTTCAGATTTAACTGGCTGGATGGAACAGCTTGGGATTTCAACTACATGGATCCTTTAAACATCCAAAAAGGAAATTGTCTGGTTATGGATGTTCAAGGTGATGGGCTTTGGTCCCAAGAGGATTGCAGTCAGAAATTCGAGTACCTTTGTAAAAGCTTGATTATTACTGATCCAACCCCCGCGCCTTTGACTACCAAGACGCCTGGAAATCCAGAAATCGAATCTGCCAAAGAATCGAAACTTCCAGAAAACCTTCTAGACGCTTCCAACTGCAATTCAACCCTCCTTCTAGCTCCTGGCTCCATCTTCTCATTTGGCTATCCCAATGCTCCATCTTCTTACTGTACCTGGCAGATTCGAGCCCTTGGACCTTATCGGCTAGGCATCTATTTTAACTTCTGGGCCACTTACGGAGCATTGAACATCTCGGATCAGTATGGAAATAATATTGGGAGCTTCAGTGGAACTTATAACAGAACCCCATTCCCAAGATACACTCCGTTTAACATTGCTACAGTAACCTTTGAGCCAAGACCAAAAACCGGGTCGGAAGAGGATAAAGGGTTTCATGCAGAGGTTTTGATGATTTGATTTGATTTTGAGGAATAAATAATTTTTAGTTTTCAAATCGTTTTCAAAAAGCAAATCGGAAAAATCAAACTTCAAACATCGAATTCTATATTAAATTTATCAAAAAATCAGTCCTACGCAAGCCACCCCTTTCCTTATCAGTTTTCGAACTATTTGTTCACATTTAGAATTCCACAAACTCTCGGGGAACAATTGTGCATACCTACTTATAAAACCCTGTTGATAAGATTAATTTTGTTGCAAAATGATTCCTCTTCTTCTTCTTTTTCTCCTTCTTCCCTCAACTTTTTGTCTTATTTGCCCAAAAGAATACTATCTTGTAAATGATTCAAAATGCCTGAAAGCCGTCTGGACCCGGGCAACTCACTCAGATGCTGAATCTAATTGTACTGCATCAGGAGGCACGCTGGTTAATATCAAAAATGCTATTGTGAGTTTTTGGTATTTGAAAATAGTTGGGACGAAGATTTAAGCCTAGTTTGAGCCCCTAGAATTGAGATTTTGGCTATTTATGACTCTTCAATATTGAGATCGTAACCTTTCCAGGACAACCATGCTGTTTTCAACTTTGGTAACACAGCTGGATTAGATTCCATTTGGATTGGTCTCTCTTGTTTTGGCAACACCACATCTTCTTGCTTCTGGGATGACGCATCAGGCAGTGCTGCTTCTTACAGTAATTTCGATTCTTTTGGCCCTAACCAAGCTGGCGACAGAAATTGTGTTCGCATGGCGGTGTCGACAGAAAGTGTGACGATGGGAAACTCAGGAAGATGGTCAAGTTCTAATTGTGGTAATAATTTCGCCATGTATAGTTCCGGCTACATTTGTGAAGCACCGCCTACATTGAATGCCAATCGTGAGTCATTTAAAAAAAAAACAAATCAAGCACCCGAAAAGAATTCAGCGTACAATTCAATGACTCCCGCATGCAATTACAACTACAATCGGAAATGCTATATGAGATCCAATGACTACGGAGCAGTATATTATAAACAGTCCGCTGCAAACAATTATTGTCTTATGATGGGATATACTGGAGGCTTAGCGTCGATCCACTCAAAAATTGATGTTGATTTTATTCGAAATCTGTACAAAGGAACCAATACAACACATGTCTATATTGGAGCAATGGCGGAGACTGCGGATAGGTGAGGCGATATTTGTTTTTGAACAACTCAGAAAAACAGTCTCTAGATTCAACTGGATAGATGGAACAGCTTGGGATTTCAACTACATGGACCCTCTGAACTTCCAAAAGGCAAAATGTCTGGTTATGGATGTCCAAGGGGATGGACTATGGTCTCCAATGGATTGCGATCAGCAACTTCCATTCTTATGCGGTCGAAAAATCTTGGAATATCTACCAGCTCTTGTCCCCGAAGCCAAATTTCAGGAACCCAACGTTCTAGACGCTTCAAACTGCAACTCAACCCTTCTTCTGGCTCCTGGCTCCATCTCCTCTTTTGGCTATCCTGGTACTCCATCTGGAACCTGTATCTGGCAGATTCGAGCTCTTGGACCTTATCGTCTAGGCATCTATTTCGACCTATGGGCCACTCTCGGATCATTGAGTATTTATGACGAGTTTGGAACGAATATCGGGAACGTATTTGGGTCATATAACACCCCGCCATTCGCAAAATACACTCCGTTTAACATTGCCAAAATTGTCTATGAGGCGAGAAGAAATCCAGATCCTAATGATAGAGGATTTCATGCAGTGATAATGATGATTTGAAGAACTTTGAAACAATAAAGAATGTTATGTTCAGTGTATTGAGTTTGACGCAAACCACCCACTTTCTTATCAGTTTAAAAACTATTTGTTCACATTTAGAATTCCTCAAACTCTCGGGAACAATCGTGCATACCTCTCTGTAAAACCTCTAGTGATAAGAACATTTTGTTACAAAATGATATCTCTTCTTCTCCTATTTCTTCTACTTCCCTCAACTTTTTGTCTTATTTGCCCAAAAGAATACTATCTTGTAAATGAGTCGATACACTCCTTTTAACATTGCTACAGTAACCTTTGAGCCAATACCAAAAACTGGGTCGGAAGAGGATAAAAGCTTCCATGCAGTGGTTTTAATGGTTTAAAATGGAAAAAAAACGCGATACAATACATATTTATATACAGTTAATATATGTACAGTACATTTAAAACGGCAATATCGTAGCACTAAATCCATGCTTCTGATATTGTGCATCTTTCACAGAGTCGTGAGTTATCGTTATCACATTACTGGGTGCTAGTACACTAAATGGATCATGATCAAACTGATTAAAAGATAACAGGGTGCCATTACTACTATAAACAAATACCGGCTCATAAACTGAGAAATCCGTGAAATATAAGCCAAGACGGAAGGCACCGAGGACAGCGATCTTCCAGGTGCATAGCATTGATCGGGGTGATTGATTTGGGTAGTCGATTGAAGTAATTGTTCCTGGCGCCAAGAAGAGGGTTGTGTTGCAGTGGGAAACTTCCGCTAGGTTGATGGTCTTGGAGGCTGAAAAATTGGAAGAATTTTGATTCGTTTTAAAATTTTAAAATTTGTCAGAATTTCGATTTCTAATGCTTTTCATCGTTTTGAGCTCATTACCAGTTTCAAAACAAGCCCAAACTCGACTAAGCTCCGCCTATTTTGAATTTTCACCTTGACACGCGACGCACGACCGCGACGCGCCTGAAAAATCAAAGTGTGCAGAGCCTAGTCGTGTGGGGGCTCAATTTGAAGCTCACGATCTTAGAATGTGTTATAAGTAGTTTTTAGAGACTTTACTCACATTTGACCATTTGGAATTTTGGATTAACAACTTTTTCGTTTTCCTCTTCCAAATCCTGGTCCTCTGCCGCTTCCACCTCATCCTCCACACCTACAGTAGCCTTCCCTGCTTTCCTCACACATACAAAGTCCTGAATTGTTTGACAAATTGTCTGATACCACATCCCATTATCCTCTCTATCATTCCCCACATTCATGGTCAAACAATTTCCCTTTGCAGTACTCAATGGATCAAAATTCTCGTATTTAAATTTGGTCCCATCGGTCCATGCAAATTCATCAGGGACAATTGCATGGGCTCCTAAAGAGACTTGGTTGATGTCAGTGCCATTGTAAAGGGATTTTATATAGTCGACTTCTTCTCTAGAGTGAATTGAGAGGAGTTCCATGGAATGGGTATGACAAATGGATTCGGTTGCGTAGAATGTTCTGTTCATCACTGGAATATTGAGTTCAAAAGATGGGTAGTAGCAGTTGCCATCGTAGTTGTGGATACAGTCTGGGTGGGGGTCTGGAAAAAGTCTGTTCCATTATTTCTAAATTCTGTTCCAATAGTTTTTTTTCTTGATTTCTACACACTAACCATCTACAGTAGTCGGCGCTTCACACACATACCACAGCCCAGTCCATTCACACGGAGAGGTGGACCATCTTCCGATGTCATTTCCAAACGTTTCCATGAAAACGCATCCACTTCTTTCTGTATCAATCCTTGGAAATCCTGGGTTGAAATTACTGTATTTAATTGGCCCAGATCCATCGTCCAGGTAGCAAAGATTCGTTTGATTCCCGAAACAATACATTCCCATCCAAATGTATGCCAATCCATGATTCGATGCCAAATCGTTGATAGCACGGTTGTCCTGGAATTTTCGGATTTTGCGGTTTAGCGAGAATTCAAAAATTTCAAATTTCAAAAATCTTACAATTGCATTATTGACCGTAAACAAGTGTCCTCCGTAGCTCCTACATTGTTGCTCAGCTTCCAAATGTTTCAGAGAGGTTTGTGCGAATTTCAGACATTTTTTATTTTTATAAAGCTCAAAACCTCGGGGACAGGATTTTTGAGTCACAGAGTAGCCCAGAGAGAATAGGGAAAAGTAAAGGAAAATAGAGAAATTCATTCTTATCAAATTTCGATTTCTTCCAGACTTTTATACCTGCTGTATTGTCAGCAAAAACTAAAAAAACAGGAAAAACGGTTTTACTGATAAAATACAAACTACACTGTATGATTTTGATGATAAGGGAAACCTGAAGGACAAGAGAAATGAACAAAGTGATTAAAAAAGCTGAAGCTGTTGAAACTGAGCTGAAAACAGTTAAAAAACCTCGAAAAATGCACAAACGGCTCGGTGGGATTTTTCATAATTTTCACTGCCAATCTGACGACCCGAGTTCAATTCCACTCAGTGGTCAAATTTTTTTATTTTTGTTTAGAAATATTTTAAATTATTCTAGAAGGTTCTAGAGGCCGAAAACCGGTTAAAATTTTCTACACTTTCTAATAGCTTTCTAAATTTTTTTAACAGCTTTTTCTAAACTTTCTAATAGCTTTCTGAATTTTCCTAATACCTTTTTCGGCCACTAGAAGCTTCTAGAACAATTTAAAATGGTCTAACTAAAAATAACAAAGACTTGCCACCGAGTGGAATCGAACCCGGGTTGTCAGATTGGTAGTGGAATATATGAAATATCCCACTGAGCCATTTGTGCAACAATTTTTGTAGATTGTATTCTAATGTCATGTTTTACAAAAAGCACAGACCCCAGAGAGCATTTTTCATCACTTCTCTTATCTGGTTCTGTTGAACAGACTGCTCTCTCTCTCTCTCTCCGAAGATGACAATTTTTATAAAAATATATAAAAGAGACCAACAGACAAAAAGAACTATATCAAAAAATGCTTCAAAAATTCATATTTTTCCTGCTTTTTTTGGTCTTGGCCTCTGCCAAAACCATTTGCCCCAAAGGATTCGCCCTAATAAATGGTAACAAGTGCTTAAATATATTTTCGGACCACTACAAACATCGAGACGCCGAAACTAAGTGCTCTGAATTTGGAGGAACTCTAGTTACAGTACATAATGCAATTGTAAGTCTGAAATTTTAAGATTTGAGCATAAAATTTTCAATTCCCGCCTTTCAGGACAACACAGCAGTGGCGAATTTTGCCGGAGCAGCTGTTGCTCAGTACACTTGGCTTGGAATCTTCTGTTTTGGAAATACCACAGCTCAATGTTACTCGGATGATGGGTCCGGTGCCTTGGGCTACAGTAATTTTATTCCTGGGCATCCGAAAATCGATGGTGGCTTTGGTGGATGTGTTTATATGCAGACTTATGGTCCGGCAAAGGGCAAATGGTATAGTGGACCTTGTGATGTCACAAGATTGGCTTTTGTTTGTGAAGCGCCGACTACAGTGGAAGGTTTGTTCAAATCATGTTAAAGGTGGGGGGACAGGAGATTTTTCGTAGTTTTTTTGTAGCTAGAGTATGCATTCTACCGTCACGGTGTACAACGCTTAATGTCTCTCTGCGTACAGCTGTCGTCCTCGCCTTTATGTATGCAATCGGGCGTCCGCTTTCTCTTTGCCCGCGTGGCTCAGTCGGTAGCGGCGCCGCACCCTCAATCATCGCCTTCACAAGTTCAACTCCTCGAGGGGCATCTTTGAACGGAATTTCGAGAACATTATTTTTTTCATGTCCCCCCACCTTTAATCATGCTAATCAAGATAATCATATTAATCATTTTATATCTTGTTATATCATGTTATATCACGTTATACCATGTTATACCATGTTATACCATGTTATACCATGTTATACCATGTTATACCATGTTATACAATGTTATATCATGTTATATCATGTTGATGCTAGTTAGTTGCTGATCGGACATTTTGTGGCCTAGAAAAGCAAAACTCGGCCACGTGTAAAGTGATGTGAATTAAAACAAAAAATAACAAAATCTACAAAATGATACTAATTTTGAGTCTTTGATTTTCCATCCCGGCGATACCAGACACGATTTTGCTTGTCTGTTCGACGGCTGCTAATTTTGGACTTGGCTATTGTACATAGTAGAATTAAGTCGTTCTGTAGAGCTCCTCAAGCTTTACACTGTACTTTTAGATGGCCTAGAAATCACATTCTTCCAGACCCGACGTGTACCTACAACTACGATGGCAACTGCTACTACCCATCATTCGGAATGAAGTACTCATCCGACCTCAATGGAACATTTTCCGACGCGGAATACCTCTGCAACTACTTCTACCAAAGTCCCCTAGTCTCCATTCACTCCAGAATGGAGCTAGATTTCATCAGAAGCATTTTCAAGAACAATCTCCGAGGAGGATTCAATAAGGCTTTTATTGGTGCCAAGCCGAGTGCAAATGGAGATTGGGAATGGACTGATAACAGCAAAATGGACTATCAGAATATGGATCCAGTCTCCGAGAAGCCTGGAAAATGTTTGGTCATGGATTTGACGGCGGACAGGGCGGATAATGGAATGTGGTCTAGAATGGATTGTACTAAGGATACGATTTTTGCGTGTAAGAAGAAGATTGAGGGTCCGGCAAGTGTGGAAATGAATGTTAATCCGAAATTTAAGCAAGTAGAGAAAAAAGGTAGGTCATATTCGATAAATACACAAGGGGGCACCTCTCGGGCAGAGCTTCTCAGTCAAGCTCAATTACCTCGATTCCTATGAGAGATATCAACAATTTGTCAACTGATAAAGCATTGGTGATATTATGATGAATAATTTATCTGTTGACATTATTTTGGTATCGCTTATACAGTGCGTTTCATAAGTATAGGTTCACCCTCGGTAGACAAGGTGGGAAATCTTGGAGGTTTGGGGTTGTTATAATATTAAAGTCCATGTAAAAATACATATCGCCCACAATTTTTAGACCGCTACTACAAAAAATAAATTTTTTATGTCAGAAAAAGTCTTTTTTTTTGAAAAACGAGCGTTTCATAAGTATAGGTTCACCCCCGGAAAATTTAACATTAACAAAGTTTTATTCAATTCAATACTTTGTGGGCTTTCCACCAGTGGAAATAATAGAAAACAAGCGGTTTGGCATGGAATTTAACAACTTCTGGAGGTAAGGCTTCTTCAGGTTCTTCCATGCGTCTACGATGGCAGTTTGGAGCTCAGAAACGGTCTGGTATTGCTTTCCCTGACCATATACGACGCGCACGAGTTCAGCCCAAACATTCTCCATTGGGTTCAAATCCGGCGAACAAGCCGGCCAATCCATCACCTTGATTTTTTTGGACTTGAACCAGTCCAAAGTCGATCTGCTCGCATGAATCGAAGCATTGTCCTGTTGATATGTGAGCTGACGCCGATGAAAACGGCGAAGATATGGGATCAGTTTGGCAGTCATGACATCCTGATAGTCTGTCGAGTTCATTCTGAAGGAGACGAACGCCAAATCCACAGTACCGGCAGAAGAGAATGCTCCCCAGACCATAAGACGACCACCACCGAAGTTACGCTTGGAGAAATGGAGGGGATCCTTCTTCAGGTCGTGCCAGTAACTGTTGAAGCCGTCCGGCCCGTCCAGATTGAACTTTTTTTCATCGCTGAAGATGATCTGTAATAGAAAACAGCATAAGTGATGATTTCAAAAGCATTCCATACCTTATCCCAATCAGTTGCCATGTTGTTCCTTGCAAACTGAAGTCGGTTCGCCTTGTGAGCATCGGTGAGCATCGGCGCGGACATTAACTTGGCTCGGACAATGTTCTGATTGCTGTCCAGTGTTCTCCAGACCGTGGACTTGCACACATCCAGTTTCAGCTCATTCTTTATGTCGTTACAGCTCTTCATCGAATTGGATGCCAGTCTGATGATGCTTCTCGTGTCTCGATCCGTCAATTTTTTTGGAGCTCCGCTCTTCTTGTTGGTCTCGTAGTGGTCCGGATTGTTAACAAACGTGTTAATACAATTGAAAGACCTCCTAGCCTAGCTGCGATGCGCCGATTCGACCATCCAGCCGTTTTGAACGCGTCGATCTGAGCTCGCTCCGAATCCGAGAGATGAGTGGCTCGCGGCATAAGAAAAACGAAGTAAAAGACGCAAAAATAGTTAAAAACAGTAAAAATAGTTAAAAAGTTATCACCTATGTGAAACTGTAATTTTTTTCAAGGGTGAACCTATACTTATGAAACGCTCGTTTTTCAAAAAAAAAAGACTTTTTCTGACATAAAAAATTTATTTTTTGTAGTAGCGGTCTAAAAATTGTGGGCGATATGTATTTTTACATGGACTTTAATATTATAACAACCCCAAACCTCCAAGATTTCCCACCTTGTCTACCGAGGGTGAACCTATACTTATGAAACGCACTGTAGGAACCCAGATATTGGAGGTCAAAGTGAGAACTTCTTAATTGCCTATGAATCACCTTTCCCTCACCCCCCTTAATCAACTAATTTCCAGCTCAAAAACTCATCAACCTCGCCGACATGTCCCATTGCAACGCCACCCTCTTCCTAGCGCCAGGAGTCGTCACGTCCTTCGACTACCCCAGTAAACAAGCTCCGCCCACTTTCTGTACCTGGAGAATTGCTGTCCTTGGAGCCTATCGCCTTGGTATCTACTTCTCCGATTTCTCCCTAGGAGACACATTGAAGGTTTATGACGAGTTTGGAAACATTCTGGATGATCCTCATGGCACTCGGGCTCCGTATGGAAAGTTGGCTCCAACGAATATTATTACAATGACCCATGATGCTTCATATGATGCTCAATGGTCGTATCATGGCTTTAGTGCCACTATTTTGCCCTATGTGTAAATTTTGACATTGGTTTTTTTTTAAATTTGAATAAAGCTTTGTAATATTTCCTTTTTTGAATTTCTAACGTTCATATTTGAATTTGACAGCTTGAGAGCTTCAAAATGAGTACCATCATGTCCCACTTTTCTCTAATTGTGGGTTTTCGAACCCCTATGCGCCTTTAAAGTTAAAATTTCAAGAAAAAACAAAACGCTGTGGAACCTGGTCTTGTTTATACTCATTTTGAAGCTCTTGAATAATTCAAAAATATATTTTTCAGATAGAAATTCTTTTAAAATTGAGTTTATCAATTAACAAAAAGTTATTATTGATTTATTATTTCACCACAAAAAATTTCAATAAGGCAGAATCGTGGCACTGAACCCATGATAATTATAATAAGCATCATAACTAGAATCATGAGTGATTTGGACAACATTCGTCGCTCCGAGCACTGAGAATGGTCGTTGGTTTCCGTTTGGCTGACTGATAAGGTTTCCGAATTCGTCATAGATTCTCACATTGGCGTAGGTTGAGAAGTCAGTGAAGTAGATTCCGATTCTGTATGGCCCCAAAGCAGCCAGGTTCCAGGTACAGTAAGCCACTGGTGGTTGGGTGTTGGGGTATCCAAAGGATGTGATGGTTCCTGGAGACATGAGGATTGTGGCGTTGCAGTTGGAGTAGTCGAGAAGTTCCGAGTGCTCTGGAATTTGAAAAATGACGTATTAGGCTATCTCTAGGGAATCACTCACTTTTCAAGTTGAATCTTGGATTCACTCTCTTCTTCTCCACATTTTCTTCCTCCTCTTCCAAGCTACTGATAACATTTAGTGATGGCATTACAGTCGAAGCCATCACAGCTCCTCCAATTCGTCTTTTGCACAAGAAGTAGTTGATATTCTGACAATTCGTCTCGGACCACATTCCATTATTTGGCTTACTCGACAAATCCATAGCCAAACAGTCTCCCTTGATAGTTGCCAATGGATCAGTGTTATCAAAGTCCCAATTGGATCCATCAACCCAGTCGAAAGTGTCTGGAAGGAAGGCTTGGGCTCCCAGGTAGATGGATTGGGCTCCAGCGTTTCTGTAGATGGCTCTGATGTAGTCGACTTCGGGTTTTGAGTGGATGGAGACCAAATCGGCGTTGTTGGATTGGCAAATGGCTTCTGCTTGGGAGTAAGTGGCGTTTGGAGAGGAGATTTGGAGCTCGTGGGATGGCAGGTAGCAGTAGCCATTGTAGTTTCGTTTGCAGGATGAATCTGTAATAGTTAATTGAAGTCAACTGCAGTAAGTATCTTTGTATTGGGTAGTTATAGTTGTAAAATCAATCAGTTGACAACTTTTTGATCACTATGACAGTAACCCAGGTAAATAGGCTCAAAGTCAAAAAGCCCTTCTATTACGATCATGGTCCGCCATACAACAGTTTTTGGGCCGTAATTTTTAACAATTGTACCAAAAGCAAATTATCTGATTTTTTAAGTAGAGAGCTTTAAACTGAGTACTATCATTCCCCACTTTTCTCTAATTGTGTTTTTCAAATCCGAGGTACGGTACCCTTATGAGCCTTTAAAGGTGAAAAATCAACCCAGCCTTGTTTATACTCATTTCAAAGCTCTTGACGTAAATAATTCAAATATTAGAATTTCAGATAAAAATTCTGAAATTTGAGAGATTTATTCCTTACCTGGATTCGTCAATGGAACCTCGCAAATGAATGGCATGCCAATCACCTCACATGGTGCACTCATCCATTGTCCAGCATTCTTCCCCGAGACTTGCATGTACACACATCCTCCATTTCCTTGTACAGCTGGATTTCCAGCCGCGAAGCTCTTAAAGTTCAGTACCCCTGAGTTATCATCGGAATAGCAGGTGGTGGTGTTTCCAGTGGCGAAACAGAATACTCCGATCCATACTGTATTGGCTCCAACGCTAGCGGCAAGGTTGGTAATGGCTCTGTTGTCCTGAAATTAGGCGGGAATTCAAATTTTCCAAAATTTCAAACTCACCACTGCATTCTTGATAGTCACTAGGGTTCCCCCAAGATAAGAGCAATCAGTTTCAGCTTCTAAATGTTTCAGATTGTTCGTGAACACTCTCAAACACTTGTTCCCATTAATCAACTTGAATCCATTTGGACAAACTGCTCCGTGAGCTCCATAAAGTACAGCGAGAAGGAAAAGCAAAATTTGAAGAGACAATTTTGACATTTTGGTTTCCAATTGCCTTATCAATGCACTAATTATGGGTGTCTCTTTTATAGTAGGTGCATTTTAAGCCGAAGAAACTGATAAGAAACAAACCACATCACTTTTTTGTCTAGTTTCAACTTTTTCGGGTGGAGACGCTTTGCTGGTGGGGTGACATTGATGATAATGATGATTATGATGTCGATTTCATTTCAAAGTCGTAAAAGCGGAGTCTTATCTATCGAAAATTAGCGAAAAACCCATGTTTTATATAAAAATGATGCGATTTCCAAGGGTTTTTAGAGCCTCAAACAATAAACAGAGCCAAAAATTGTCCAAAATTTTGGAACCGAATTTCTGAATTCCAGGATTCTCCAGGTTTTAGAATTTCGGATTATTTTTTCTTGATTTTTAGAAGTTCCAGGATTACTGAATTTCCTGAATTTTTGAATTTCTGAATTTCTGAGTTTCTGAATCCCAGGATTCTTTAGGTTTTTAGAATTTTGGTTTTTTTTTTGATTTTTAGAAGTTCCAGGATTTTTGATTTTTAGGATTTCTGAATTTCTGAATTTCCTGAATTTCTGAATTTCCTGGAATTTCTGAATTTCTGAATTTCTGAATTTCTGAATTTCTGAATTTCTGAATTTCTGAATTTCCTGGAATTTCTGAATTTCTGAATTTCTGAATTTCTGAATTTCCTGGAATTTCTGAATTTCTGAATTTCTGAATTTCTGAATTTCCTGGATTCCTGAATTTCTGAATTTCTGAATTTCCTGGAATTTCTGAATTTCTGATTTTCTGAATTTATTTTTATGAAGTTTTATAAAATAATTTTAATTTGTTTATATACTTCTAAATTTTTCACTTATAGAAAATTGAAATAATTAGGAATTTAGGAAAATCCAAAATTTATAACTTTTGAAAGTTCGAAATATCGCAAAATAAAAATTATAAAAAACTCAATTATTCGAAATTTGAACATATTGAAATTCAGGAAATCAAAATATGTAAAAATTCAAAAGTTCCAAAAATTCGAATACTTGAAAACTCAGAAGTTGTAATTTCAGTTTCCAAACTTCCAAAATTCTGGAAATTGAAATTATTTAAAACTCCGAATGTCTAGCAATTCCATGTTTCCCTAAATTGGGGAAAATTTATGCAATTACTTCTAAAAACATTGTATTCATACAGTTTTTTGAAAATTCCTAGTTTTTCAGTTATTTGCAGATTTCTAAAAAACACCCTTTTTTACGTTTTCAGTAAAAAAAGGCCGAAAAGAGGCGTCTTTTAGAAATCGGAGAATAGCTGAAAAATTAGGGTTTCCCAAAAGAATCTGTGAATTCAAAGTCTCAATCTAGATTTGTTTTTCACCTTCTGGAATTTTCAAAGTTAACGGAAATTTGACAGCCGAGCTCCAGACTCCTGAAAATGTCAAATATTAATTGACCGGTACTGTATACCGTAAAACCTGTATTGAATGGATCCCTGTAATAGAAGAGCACTACTCCGTCTGATACAGGTTTTTACGGAAATTAAACAACAAAATCAAAAAACCAATCAGACATTTCCTGAATCGACTAACACGTAAAATGATGCAATTCAATTCTTATCATAATTTCTCCTCCCTAATTTTTTAAGTATATGCCACTATATAACACCGCAGTGAGTGCACTGATAACAACTGGAAAATGAAGCACTCCTTTATTTCCATTTCCCTCTTTTTTGCTCTTTTTTCTGGCGTCGCTCTCACCCCAGAATGTCCAAGAGGATTCCGATTGCTATCTGGGAACAAGTGTATGAGAATATTCACAAACAAGTTGAAGCACTATGAAGCTGAAACTGATTGTAAGTATCTTGGAGGAGCACTTGTGACCAGTAAGAATGCAGCGGTGAGTTTTTGGATTTCAAATTCCCGTCAAGTCAACTTTTCAAAATAAAAAAACAAGTTTCAGAGCAACCGAGACATTGCCAACCTTGCCGCTAGCGTTGGAGCCAATACAGTATGGATCGGAGCATACTGTTATGCTACTGGAAACAACACAAATACTTGTTATCACGATGATAACTCGGGAGTGGTGACCTACAACCAATTCGCCCCTGGAAATCCAAATGTACAGGGAAGCGGAGGATGTGTGTACATGCAAGTGTCCGGACCAAGTGCTGGAAAATGGATCAGTGCCCCTTGTGAGGTAGTTGGAATGCCATTCATTTGCGAGGTTCCAATAACAAATCCAGGTGAGTTTATGACTTTCTTAATTTTCAAAATTTTTGTCTGAAATAAAAATTTCTGGACAATTCAGGTCAAGAGCTTTGAAATGAGTATAAACAAGACTAGGTTTCACAGAGTTTTGATTTCTCTCTGAATTTTCAACTTTAAAGGCGCATAACGGTTCGAAAATCACAATTAGAGTAAAGTGGGACATGATGGTACTCATTTTAAAGTTCACAATGTAACAAATGAGAATATCCTGTTTTTGCCTAACTGTTGGCTAGGTTTTGCCAGGAACGTCCCAAAAATGGCTGTATGGCGGATCAAGATCATGATTGAAAGGCCTTATAAATTTGAGCCGATTTTTATCGATTCCTATAAAAGATATCAAAAACTGTCTAACTGATAAAATACTGATAATATTATGATGAACATTTCGTCAGTTGACCGCTTTTTGATTTCTTTCACAGGAAACGAGAAAAACGAGCTCAAAGTTGACAGTGTGTTTGATCATTTCAGCTAATCCAAAAAAGTTGTTGCGATTATAACTGTCTCAATTTTCAGAATTTATATTTGAAAACAATATTTTCAAATTATTCATCTCAAGAGTTTCAAAATGAGTATAAACAAGGTTCCACAGCGTTTTGGTTTTATAACTTTAAAGGCGCATAGGAATCTGAATGTTCAGAATAAGAGCGATGTGGGGCATGATGGTACTCGTTTTGAAGCTCTAAACGGGTAGAATTCGAGATCAAATGTTTGAAATTTGAAAAATGAGAAGAAGCAAGCTAGGAGCAAGTGAAAATTGGTCTAATAGGGAGCATAGTTGAGATCCTGGGTTAGAGGGAGGTAAGATTCTCAGAAGATTCGGAAATTAGGATAAATCACTTACTGCTGCCCTTGCAATTAGAAGCAAAGCTTAAAATAACGTAAAAACCTAAATTTGGTCCGTTGGGAGCTTTAAAATGAGTACAATCATGCCCCATTTTTCTCAAATTGTGGGTTTTCTAACCCCTATGCGCCTTTAAAGTTGAACATTTCAAGAAAAAACAAAACACTGTGGAACCTAGTCTTGTTTATACTCATTTCGAAGCTCTTGACGTGAATAGATTGAAAATATGATTTTCAGACAAAAAATCTGAAAGTGGAGAGAGTTAACATCAAAGTTCCAGAATCATGGCAAATAAAACCGCCCTATTACAGATACCTACTGTCTTCACAACTACAATGGCTACTGCTACATGGCCTCCCACGAAATGAATCTTGCCAACCCGGTCAACACCACCTATGACAAAGCCCAATCCATCTGCAGAGCCAACAACGCCAATCTAGTGTCCTTCCATTCGAAACCTGAACTTGATTGGGTGAAGTCCATCTATAGAAACACGGGTGTCCAACAAATCTTTGCTGGCGCCAAGGCATTCCTTCCGGACACTTTTGAGTGGGCCGATGGATCTAATTGGGATTTCGATTATACTAATCCATTATCGACTAGCACTGGAAATTGTTTGATTATGGATTTGTCGAGCAGGCCGGATAATGGAATGTGGTCAGAGACAAATTGTCAGAATATTAATTACTTTGTGTGCAAGAGGCTGATTCCTGTGGCTACTGAGGCTACCACACCGGCTGGGGAAGAGCTAGAGGAGATGGAGGAGACCAAGGAGCATCAGAAAAGTGTGAATCCGAAATTCCAACGTCCTCTAACCAAAACCGAACTTCTCGACTTCTCCAATTGCAACTCAACCATCGTCATGTCGCCCGGAACCATCACCTCCTTTGGATACCCCAACACCAAACCCCCAGCAGCGTACTGTATCTGGAACATTGCCGCTTTGGGGCCATACAGAATCGGAATCTACTTCACTGACTTCTCAACCTACGCCAATGTGAGAATCTATGACGAATTCGGAAACCTTATCAGTCTGCAAAACGGAAACCAACGACCATTCTCAGTGCTCGGAGCGACGAATGTTTTCCAAATCACTTATGATTCTAGTATTGATGCTTATTATGGTTATCATGGGTTTGAAGCTACTGTTTTGCCGTTTTAGGGACATTTTTTTTTCGTTTAAATAAAGTTTTAAGACTTCAATCATCTATTTTTGTACTGAAAACATAGAAAAGCTTGATTTTCATTCATTCTTGATGTTCAACACACTTTCAAATCAGTAAAAATGATCTCAAACTCCAAAATCGGCAATTTCTGAAAAAGCGCGCCAGATGGCTCAGTGGGTTTTGACACTGAAATTTTACGGTCTACAACACCAAAGTTCAATTCCATCTGGCTTCAAAATTTTTTAGATTTTTGTGAGGACCTTGAAAATGGTAGTTTTAGGCACATTCGAGGTGTAGAAAAGGAATCATTGAAAATGTTGAAAAAACATTTTTGAAAAAAAAAACTTTCAACATTTGTATACGATCTAAAGTTGCGATTTTTACTTATTTTTGATGTTCAAAACACTTTTAAATCAGTGAAAATGATCGAATACCTCAAAAAACCGGAAAAACCAGCAAGTTCTAAAAAAGAGCACCAGATGGCTCAGTGGTTTTTGACACTAAAATTTTCGATTTACAACACCAATGTTCAATTCCACCTGGCTTAAAACCTTTTTGATTTTTGTGTGGACCTTGAAAGTGGTTGTTTGAGGCGTATTTGAGATGTAGAAATGGAATTTTTTGAAATTTCTGAAATTTTTTTTTGAAAACTTTAACTAGATTCAAATTGCAATTTCCGCTTATTTCTGATGTTTAAAACACTTTTAAATAAAAAAGAACGATCCGAAATCTCGAAAAACCGCAAAAATCGGCAATTTTCAAGAAAGCGCACCTAATGGCTCAGTGGGTTTTGACACTAAACCTTTACGGTCTACAACACCACAGTTCAATTCCACCTGGCGTCAAACATTTTTGATTTTTGTCTGGAGTTGAGGTGTAGAATAGAAATTTTGAAAAACTTGAAAAAAGGAAAATTTTTGAATTTTTTTAAAACTCAAAACTCGAAAAACCCGCAAAAATCGGCCATTTCTAAAAAATCGCACCTGATGGCTCAGTGGGTTTTGACACTAAAATTTTACGATTTACAACACCAAAGTTCAATTTCTCCAGGCGTAAAATTTTTGTTTTAGTTTTAGGCACATTTAAGATGAAGAAATGGAATTTTTTGAAATTTTGAAAAAAAAAATTTTGGAAAATTTTTCTTGTCTTCAACTTGCGATTTTTGCTTATTCATGATGCTTAAACAGTTTCTAATAACTAAAAATGATTTCAAACCTAAAAAAACCGAAATCTACAATTTCTAAAAAAGCGCGCCAGATGGCTCAGTAGGTTTTGACACGGAAATTTTATGGTCTACAACACCAAAGTTCAATTCCATCTAGCTTCAAAATTTTTTGATTTTTGTGAGGACCTTGAAAATAGTAGTTTTAGGCTCATTTTGATTTCAGAAATCACTTTTGTGGGTGTCTTTTTAAGCGTTTTAAGGTTTCAAAAAGCCCTTAAACCCCCTTAAGGGCGTGCCAGACACTCTTTGACCGCAACACTTGAGTATATAAACCGCACTCATTATCACTGATAAGAACCACCACCCAAAAATGCGTCTTTCCCTTTTCACGATTCTTTTCACTATACTTTTGCCCAGTTGCCTTTTTGCTGACATTGTTTGCCCGTCTGGATTCACACTAATTAATCAGCAAAAGTGTCTGAAGGTGTATACGGCTCAAGTACAACATTTGGATGCTACCAAACAATGTACATCTCTTGGTGGGACTCTTGTGACTATTAAAAATGCTATTGTGAGTTTTGGGGCGATTTGGAAATCGAATTAATTTTTTTTTAAATTTCCAAAAATAAGACTCTTCAAAATTTTCAAAAATTCTTTTCCTACTTCTCAACTGTGTCTAAAATTGCCATTTTCAAGGTCCACACAAAAATCAAAAAAGTTTGGCTCCAGGTAGAATTGAACTTTGGTGTTGTAGACCGTAAAGTTTCAGTGTCAAAACCCACTGAGACATCTGGCGCGCTTTTTTAGAATTTGCTGATTTTTCCGGTTTTTCGAGATTTTAGATTATTTTTTGTGATTTAAAAGTGTTTTTGAAACTATGAATAGGTACAAATCGCATTTCGAAATCGAATAAAAATTTTGAAAAAATTCCAAAAATAATATTTTTCAAAATTTTCCACAATTATTTTTTTATACCTCAGAAAACTACCATTTTCAAGGTCTACAGAAATATCAAAAAAGTTTCACGTCAGGTGGAATTGAACTTTGGTGTTGTAGACCGTAAAGGTTTAGTGTCAAAACCCACTGAGCCATCTGGTGCACATTTTTTAGAAAATGCCGATTTTTGCGGTTTTTTAAGGTTTCCAATTATTTTTAGTAATTTTAAAGTGTTTTCAACATTCTAAATGAGTGAAAATAGCAATTTTGAATCGAATGAAAATTTTGACAATTTTATTCAAAATTTTTTTTTTCAAAATTTTCCAAAATTCTTTTTTTATACCACAAATGTGCCTAAAACTACGATTTTCAAGGTCCACACAAATATCAAAAAAGTTTCACGTCAGGTGGAAATGAACTTTGGTGTTGTAGACCGTAAAGTTTTATTGTCAAAACCCACTGAGCCATCTGGCGCGCTTTTTTAGAAATTGTAGATTTCGGTTTTTTTAGGTTTGAAATCATTTTTAGTGATGTCAAAGTGTTTTTCAGGATAACCGAGCAGTAGCCAATTTCGCTGCCAACGCTGGCCTCTCCAATTTCTGGATCGGAGGGTTCTGCTATACACGAGATGAGGTTGCCTGCTTCCATGACGACAGTTCTGGAGTGATGACTTATAACAGTTTTGGCGCTGGCTATCCTCAGAATAATTTTGCAATCGGACAATGTGTCTATATGAAGACAAGTGGGACATCGGCTGGACAATGGGCTACTAATAGATGTCATAGGGATACTATGCCGTATGTTTGTGAGGTTCCACTTACTTTGGAAGGTGGGTCTTTGATTTCGATTCTAAAAACTTTACTAGAAAATCAAAAACTATCAGGAAAATCCTTTTGAGACCCTAATTTCCTAAATTTTCAAACTCACAGACTTTTGAATCCGAAGTTTCATAGCTTAGCAATCCTATCTTTTGTAGTAATTGTGTTTAGTTGTCATGATTATACAAAAAGCACAAAACCATCAGTCCAATTATTTCTTCCTTATCAGTTTTTAGACTCCAAAAAAGATGACAAAACTTAATTGAGAGCACTTAAAACAATTTTTTGTTCTTCAGAATATCATTTGATAAGTTTGGTAGCATTTTTTGGGGATTTTGGTTACCTCAAAATGAGCTAAAACTGTTTAATTTGCCTGCAAGTTCAAAATCTCTTAACTAGCAGTATCCCTCCCCCTTACTTTAAACTTATGCTCAATTATCTCGGTTCCTGTCAAAGATATTGAAAATCCTCCAACTGATAAACTGTTTATCATAAGATCAGAAAAATTTTATCAGTTGACAATTTTTTGAAATCTTTTACAGAAATTGAGATAATTGAGCTCAAACATGACTGTGTAGAAGCCTTTCTATTACAGGTTTTACGGGAGAATTCCAACCAAATTAAAACAAGAGAAATTATTGAAATTTCCTATTTTCATTTTGAGAATCAAAAATGAATTAAGAAATTAAGAATCAAAAATGTCCTAGTATTCAATAGGTTCAGTTTTTTTGGAATTTTTGGGATTTTTGTGCACTTTGAACTCAATTTTCTCGGTTCCTTTGAGAGATATCAATAATCTGTCAACTGATAAACAATTTATCATAAAATCAGCAACATTTTATCTGTTGACAAACTTTTGATATCATGTTGACAAACTTTTGATATCCAGAGTGGCCGAGATAATTGAGCACACTTATCGGCTGAGCTTCTGTTAGAGCAAATAAAATGTTCAAGTTTTCAAGATTTATTACGAAAATCGGAGATCCAGGATTTTGAAAATAAGCTTCCAATTTTCACAATTTTCCAGACCAAACATGCCAGCACAACTACAATGGCTACTGCTACCTCCCAGATCAAGAAATCCTTGGACCAACACAATTGCCCAAAGATTTTAAAGCAGCTCAAGACATTTGCCAAGCCAACAATGCCAATTTAGCCTCTATCCACTCTAAATAAGAAATCGACTACATCAAAACCCTCTACCGAAGTTCCGGAGTCGATGAAATCCTACTAGGTGCTCAGGCCTCCAAACCTCACGTCTTCAAATGGATTGATGGATCTGCATTCGGCTATAGCTACCGTAATCCATTCGATAATTCCACGGAAAACTGTTTGAAAATGTCGGTCACCGATGAACTGGGACCAAATCAGCAAATGATATATGGAACATGGTCAGAAACTGGATGTCAAGAAGTGAACAATTTTCTATGCAAGAGAAGAATTGTGGGGAAATTTCCACAGACCGCAGAGAAACAAAAAGCCCCGGTACCAGTCCATTATGACATCACGGACCCTTCAAATTGCAACAATACAATGCTGATCGCTCCGGGAACCATTACATCGTTTGGCTACGGTACCTCTCCACTCCCCGGTGGTTTCTGTTACTACAAAATTGCGGCGATTGGTGCTTATAGAGTTGCAATTCACTTCACAGACTTTTCTACTTGGTACAATGTGGATGTGACGGATCAATTTGGAGAGAATGTCGCGAGATTGTACAATAGTCGAGATCCCTTCAGTGTTTTGGTGGAGTCTACAATTGCAGTTTTGACACATGATGCTGATAAGGATGCTTCCAGTGATAGACATGGTTTTAAAGCAGTTGTTTTGCCGTTTTGAACCTTTTTTTTTGGAAAAAAAAAATAAATTTTTATATTTCGTCATTATGGAGCACAAAAACACTTTGAAAAACTTTTCACCTGCTAGAAAATTATAATTATTTGAGACTTCATCATGCAACTCTCTTCCTTGTCAACTAAAATGGAGGCTGACTACGCGAAATTCGACTTTTACGATGAAGAATCCGGAAAATGGATTCACATTGCTGATTATTTGGAATCTTACAATAATTATACAAATTCTAGACCAAAATCTACTCCTGCGGATACATTTTCGTTTCATTTTTCGCTGGGATTATTGCTCATTCCGGCTGTTCTTGTTGTTTTAATCACTCTAGGATCGATGGTTTCCTTCCCAATTCATTTTGTAGTTTGTAGGAAGAATCGGGATATTGGAAAAGAGATGAAATGTACTTTTGAACTTTAAAGGTGGGGGGACAGGAGATTTTTTGTAGCTAGAGTATGCATTCTACCGTCACGGTGTACAACTCTTAATGTCACTCTGCGTACAGCTGTCGTCCTCGCCTTTATGTATGCAATCGGGCGTGCGCTTTCTCTTTGCCCGCGTGGCTCAGTCGGTAGCGGTGCCGCACCTTCAATCATCGCCTTCACAAGTTCAACTCCTCGAGAGGCATCTTTGAACGGAATTTCGAGAACATTATTTTTTTCATGTCCCCCCCACCTTTAAAAGAATTCTTGATTTACTATAAAAGTATTAAATTTCATCTTCCACGATATACCGTAAACACTCTAATAGAACACTACTCGAAATTTGAGCAGATATATCTCATTTTCTGTGAAAGATATCAAAAAGTGGTTAACTAATAAAATGTTGCTGATATCCTGATAAACATTTTACTAGTTGAAAACTTCTTCATATCTTTCAAAAGATAAATAGGCTCAAAGTGGACAGTCAGGGTGGCAATCTATTAGAATGCTTACGGTATGCGCACTTTGGGCTCAATTATCTCGGTTCCTAGGGGAGATAACAAAAATTTGCTAACTGATAAAATATTGGTGATATCATGATAAATATTTTAACAGTTGAAACTGTTTTGATATCTTTCAAAGGAATCGAGATAATTGAACTCAACGTGCACATATCGGGCGGGCTTCTAGTAAAGCATTTAAAGTCTTCAGGATTCAAAATTGAAAGTCAGACAGCCCTCATAAATCTTTGAGACCCCAATTTACCCAATAATCCTCCATTTCCAATGCTATTCCACTTTCATGATGTTATTCAACATTCTAACTTTGATTTCTCTTATATTCTCTATAGTTTTTAATTATCCCTTAATTGTATTTCCTATTTTGATTGGTTATTTTTTATCATCAGTGGTCTCTCCAATATTTAATATTCTTTTAATGCTTTTAAGCATCCAAAGATTCCTATTATACTTTTTAGAAGATTCTGAGAAGTATTTGAATTTAAAATCCAATATTTTTGTATAGTTTCATAGCTGTTTTGAGTTTTATAGATAGATTTTTTTAATTGGCATATTATATTAGATTTCCTAACTTCAAATATCTCCCCTGGCTTGTGGAAATTCATGAAAATTATAGCAGAATCTCAGCCACAGAAATACATGGCTTATCAGTCGATTTTTATACTTATTTCGAAAATGGTGATTTTTTCGGTTCCTGTAAAAGATATCAACAAGTTGTCAACTGATAAATTGTTTATCATAATATCAGAAACATTTCATCAGTTGACACATTTTTTATATCTTTCTCAGGAGTTGAGATAGGGGCCCTTTAATTACAGGTGTTTTTTCAGCTCGTATTTTTCTGCGGCCTACTGGCCTTATATTTTGCAAGAAGTTTAGAAACTTCCTACTTGGATTTAGTGGGAATATTTTCTCCTATTTTTTGGAAATTAAAAAATCTGAATTTTCAGATTTTCATCTTTGTAAATGCCTCAATTTTTTACTTCACTCCCTTTATTATACAAACGACTTATTTGTTTTGTAACAAGAGGAATTCAAAATTCATATTGGATTGGAAAATGTGGTTTCGGAGCAAAAATAATTCAGTAGAGCCAGTTTTGGAGAGCACTGATTGAGCTTTAAGTTGTGCAATTTTATAAATTTACCTATTGCCGCCGTCAGGCAACTTGAACTTTTCCGTGGACTTGTCAACCTTTGAAAACAGAAAAAACCTAAATATTACCAAAAAAAGTTTTTTGTAGTCTCATGACCTCAATTTTTGATATTATAAAAATAAAAATAGACGGGCATCATCTATCTGCTATTTCGGGTTATCTGCGAAAATTTAAATAATTTTGGTCCAGCGGGGACTTCGCTAGGGTCCGCTAACCGGGAACAAACAAACACACACAGAATATGGTGATTGCTAATATTGTCTATTCAAAACAATCGTACGAGTGAACGAGTAAAACAACGTGTAGAGAGGCGTAGAAACCTGTAGAGGCGCTGTAGAGACGCAGGTTTTTTTACTCGTTTACGTGTGCGATTATTTTGAATAGACAATAGTAAAGATAAAAAGAACCAGAAGAGTAGGACTAATAAACAAACCCAAGATACATTTTGACCAAGATTCAGTATGATTACACGAAACTTTTGAGAGTTTTTTGACTTTGTACTATTTCTAAAAATTGGTCATCACAAGAATGGTTCAATAAGCCGATTAATAAACTATGAAGCTTAAATTGTTAGTCGTTTGTTTCAAAAGTTTCATTAGAGCTTATTCGAAAGTGTCGAAGCATTTTTCACTTATTAAGCATCGTCATAAATTTTTGATAAAATAGGAAATGCTCTTCATTTTCTCATACAGTAAGGTCAGTATCTTTAGGACCCCCCCTCGATTTTGGGGGTTTCAGGAGAACGGGAAGAGATATCAAAATTCTGTAAACGCCATTCAATTCAGGATAAAAAATAGAAACCCCAGGGGACAAATTTTCAAGTTTTCATGTTTCTACTATTTTCGGCATAAGAGTACCACCAAAAAGACCTATTTCTGACCGGTCAATATCTTTAGGTCCCCCTGGAAATTTTGAAATCTAGTTCATTTTTTGTGGAATTTTCGCTTTTGAACTGAAAATAATTTGCAGCTCCGTGCTTTTTCGGTACATTTTTATAAGTATCTCAAAGAATTTTCGTAATTTGTCGACTTTCAAAACTCTCTTTTTTTCCAATGTTTTTCTAATTTTAGAAAAGTGACCCAATATCTGGAACATCACAGTGTCTGTACACAATCCAAGCCCTAAATGCGCTTCCAGTACCTAAGTTAGATTCTCAACATCATAGTCTGTATGTTGACCGTTCTCTTTGAATAGTTCGAATTTTTTCAAAAATTGGGTCACTTTTACAAAAATACCCGAAAATTTGGAAAAATTGAAAAAATGAGAATTATGAAAGTCGAAAAATTATGAAAATTCTTTGAGATACTTATAAAAATGTACCGAAAAAGCACGGAACTGCAAATTAATTCCAGTTCAAAAGCGAAAATTCTACAAAAAATTAACTAGATTTCGAAATTTCCAGGGGGTCCCAAAGATATTGACCGGTCAGAAATAGGTCTTTTTGGTGGTACTCTTATGCCGAAAGTGCTAGAATCATGAAAATTTGTCCCCTAGGGTTTCTTTTTATCCTGAATCGAATGGCGTTTACAGATATCTCTTCTCGTTCTCCCGGAGCCCCCAAAATCGAGGGGGGTCCTAAAGATACTGATCGCACTGTATTATGACTAAAAAGAGTTTTTTAATAAGCCGATTAGGGCAATCTTTTTTTTTCAAAAGTTTCCTCACAGCTAATTCGCAGGTTTCGAAACAAATTTCTCTTATAATACTCTGTCTTAAATCACTGATAACGCAGAAAATGCCCTCACTATTCACTTTACTTCTTATTGGCTGCTGCTTTGCCTCCACACTAGCGGAAGTTACATGTCCAGATGGATTCACTTTGATCAATGGCCGAAAATGTGTACAAATTTCATATGGGACGGGTCCGCATGCTGATATTGCCAAAGAATGTAAATCTGTTGGAGCGCGTTTGGTGACGATAAAAAACCAAGAAGTGAGTGTTAAAGAGTTATTAAATATTTGTTTTCTGAAATTGAGATTTGGAAAAACTAAAAATTCCATAAAAACTCCAATAGAAAACAACCCATTTAATTTTGAAATTCGCCTAATTTTAGGACAATGACGCTATTTATGATTTTGCAAAAAAATCAAGTTGCTATAGTTACTGGATTGGGGTTTCCTGTTTGTCAATCAATGGAAACACCACTTGCTACAATGATGACTACTCAGGACCAGTTACCTATAATAATTGGGCACCAAGTCACCCAAGAATCTCCACAGACAAGTATAAGTTCAGTCTATCTGTTTATGCAGAGTCAAGTTGGAATTTCGCCCTTCCCTGGAAGACTGTGGATGGCTCTAGCATTGCATATCAAGGGATTTGTGAAGTTCCCACAACATTTGCAGGTATCTGAACAAGGGGTTTTTAATAAATCAAAAATTTTAAGACCCATCCTGTAAATACAATTACAATGGCTACTGTTACATTCCATCACATGAAATTCCTGGAGTCACCACAAACAGCACAACCTACCCAAAAGCTCAGGCAATCTGTAGATCGCTCAATGCTAATATAGTGTCAATACATTCGAAATTGGAAAATGACTACATCAAAAGTATCTACAAAGACAGTGGAGTTTATCAGATCACTCTCGGAGCTCAAGCGTTTCAACCACACGTTTTCAATTGGGTTGATGGTTCCAGCTTTGATTTCAGCTACCGTAGTCCGTTTGACAATTTCACGGGAAACTGTTTGCAGATGGATACTCTAGACGGATTATGGACAGAAGTCAATTGCCAAGTATTTAATAATTTCTTGTGTCAGAGGAAAATCGGAGGTCGATCGGAGAACTTGAGAATTGTCCCATCACACATTGACCTTTCCGACTCATCTGGCTGCGACAACACCATTGTTTTGGCTCCTGGTACGGTCACATCTTTCGGATACGGTACCTCTCCTCTCCCAGTTGCTAATTGTCTTTGGCGAGTGGCTGCTCTTGGCTCCGATCAAGTTGCCATATACTTCACTGAAATGGAGATTGGAAATTGGTTATACGTTGAGACCCAGCCAGGAAAACCGGACAGGAAATTTAATGGGAGTATGGACGAGGCGAGATATGTTGCACCAGGAAATACAGCTATGATTGTGCACTATTCTGATAGGGATACGAATTTGAAAGGGTTCAAAGGAGTGGTTATGGCGTATTGATGAAATAAATCGTTACTAGTATTGAGCAAATCATTATAATCCAGAAAAACGAATTCCCAATCTTCCAGTACCATTTTAGTTAGATTTACCAAACCACCATAAATAGGAAATACAAAAAAAATAGCATTTTAGAAACTAAACTTTGAGGGATCAAAAATTATTGTTAATGGACGAAACTTGATTAGGTTTTTTGCTAATATATTTAAGCAAATTATTTTAATCTAGCAAAACACAATTTCAAATAGCCAGGATTATTTTTTGCTGTTTTTTTTTCAGAATGTTATGATTTACTGTAGTGGAAATAACTAAAAACGGACGTTATACCTAGAACCTGGAATATTGGTGTATGTTTTGTTATATGTGCCAAATTTAGACATAATTTGACAGTCCGATAAACTGATAAAATTATTAAATTAAAAAAGATATTATATTTCTGAGCTTTACAAAGTAAGTCCAATTAGAAAACCAAAATAAATTAAATCATTTATTAAATTTTTCAAGCCAAAATATAACTGGTATGATACAAACATAAAAAGAAAATCACTGGTGTAATGAAATAAAAAAATATCGGGAATAACTATTCGATTAGTTATTGAAGGAAGGCATTCATAGGCATTATTATTTCTCATGAAGTTTGATAATGTAAATTTCAATTTATCTATTAAACTTTCCTGGTTTTCTTGTTCCATGCATTTTTAAAGCTTCTCAGGAGCCGCAGATTTTGGAATTTTCACATGAACCTGAAAAATGAAGAATTTCGGGCTCTTTTCTAGTTTAGAGGTCCCAAAAAAGAATAGAGGTCCGAAAAAAAATTAGAGGTCCCAAAATAAAATAGAGGTCCCAAAAAAGTTTAGTGGTTCCAAGAAAAAATAGTGGTCCAAAACTAAAAAATGCACAAATACCGGAATAATGTACTAAAATTTGAATTGTGTAAAAATTTAAAGTTTTGAGGTCTTATAGCAAAATAATTGTTGATGATATATTTTATACTTCTAATAGGCTTAGGAATGCATATTTTCTGACAATTATCTAAGCCTGAGAAACAGCATAATCACGGAGTGATTACTGTATTGCCCAAATTTTCCTCATATGTAAATTGGGTTCATCGGCAAGATGCGAGAGAATTGGAGCTAAAATTGTTAGGAGTAGTCATGTCATCCTATAAGACCCTAAAACTCAAACTACTCGCACAGTTCAAATACTAGTACATTATTCCAACATCCGCGCGTTTTTCGTATTTTGGACCTCTATTTTTTCTTGGGACCTCTAAACTTTTTTGGGACCTCTATTTTATTTTGGGACCTCTAATTTTTTTTGGGACCTCTAATTTTTTTTCGGACCTATGATATGCACCCAGTGTGTTTTCTGGGTAATTTCAACGAGGTGGCCTAGAAAACAAAAGTTAGGACACCACGTTAAAATAGCATAGAAAACACTTGGACCAATTCTAGGCAATTTTAACGTGGTGGTCTAGAAAACCAAACTTGCAAAAGTTAGGCCGCCATATAAATCCTACCTTGCCATCCTTGTATGCCACTTGACCGCCCATCTCCTTTATTTGGTTCTTATCCACTACATTTTTGCCAGATCGGCCTTCTTTGGGGGTTCCTTCTTGAATTTGTAGACTAAATGGTGCTGGCTGTCTAATATTTTTCATGTTTTGCCAGTTGAAAGGTTTTGGTATAGCAGGAGGAGCCAAAAATCGTTCAGGTAGAGTTGGAACCTTGAAGACTGGCTCTGTAACCACCTCCGAAACCACCACAGGTGGTTTCTGGGCTAAATTTGGCACATGTGACTTTGGGATTTGAATAGTGACCTCAAAATGATTAGGTACATACATATTGATTGAATCAAAAACTTCTGAAACTCACCTTATCCATATGAACTATCGCCCTGCCACCAATCTTGTGTATATTTTTGAAATTGAAAACGTTTGGATCGTTTTCTGCGTCTTTAGAAGATTTTCGGACCTCAACACAATACGGCGCTTTCGGTCCGACGGTCTCATCTTTCATTTTCTTCCATTTCGAGAGACTAGAGACGTATCCAGGTGGAGGTGGAGGAGGCGCTGGTGCCCATCTTGGAACTCCGGCAGCTAGGAGAGATGGCAGAGGGTTTGGAAATCCTACAGTAACCTGGAAAAAAGTTTGGTTTAGTTTGGCTCAGTGTATATTTTGAAAAGGTTGCCTAGCTTTTGTAAGTTGACATTCCTAGGCCACCACCGTAAAATGGCCTGGAATAGGTCTGATATTCACAGGGTGTGTTTTCTAGGTCATTTTGAAATACTGGCGTAACTGGAGTTTTCTAGGACAAAATGGTAAGATGGCCTGGAAAACGCACCAAGGGTAAGGTAGGCTATTTTAAGGTGGTGGCCTAACTTTTGCAAGTTGGGTTTTCTAGGCCACTATGGTAAAATAGCCTAGCAATGACCTGACATGCGCCTGGGATGTTTTCTGAGCCATTGAACATTGTGGCCTAACTTTCACATATTGAGTTTTCTAGGCCACC